ACATTTCCCCCTGGGGCTCCGAGAGAGTTGCCAGTGAACCGGATTTGGCTCACGGTCAGTCTGGGATGTGGGGTCTTGCCCATTCTCCTCCGTAAAGTTTGTCTTGGAAGGACTGCGTCCCCTGAGCAAACCCTGGGCCTGCAGAGTCCCAAACAAGCAGCCCTCTGGGTCCCGGGGGGCCCGCCCAGCCGGGCCGCTCCAGGATTCCTGTGTCCTCCGAGGGCAGGAGGCGGGAGCTCACAATTCACAAAAATACCCGGGGACGCTGGTCTCGGGGGTGGGAGTCGGGAGCCAGCGCAGGGCCGGAGCCTGGAAATCTGGGTTCTCGGCATCATGGGTGGAGAGAGGAGGGTCCATCCCGTGGGGCTGGTCACCTCTGAGAGCAGCCTTTGTAGCTTTGTTTCCTCTTTCACACTTTCCTGTGGTTTCTAGTGTGTGTGTGTGTGTGTGTGTGTGTGTGTGTGAGATAAGCTTATAATGCTTTTATAATCCAAAAGAAAAGCAATAACATTTTTTTTAAGTAGTGGGAACTAATGGAAAACACAGGAGAGAGTCAGAAATAGCAAAATTCCAGGCAAGGCAGAGCTACGCCGTGCCGGGTCTACTGAGGGTGTCTAGTCTCCCCCGTGACTTTGCAGGTAAGGCTGCTGAGATGCCCAGGAGCTGCCCTGCCCGGGTCCCCGGGGCGCCGGCTCCAGAACGCTGGGTTCTGACCCCCCGTGCAGGGTCCGGGCCTGCCACCGTGGGAGACCCGGATTCTGCCCTCCACACTGAACAGCCTTAATCCCATAGGCCAAATCTAGACAGAAAGTAAGCCGGGCAGAGGGCTCGGGGAAGGCCTTATGTAAGAGGCTGCTGGGGTGGGAGTGTTAACCCAAGACGGGGCACAAGTCCTGTGCAGGGAGGACGCAGCCGCCTCAGTGACGGTTTCTCTGGGGAAGGAGGGGGCACCTGAGGGTCACAATAGGGAGAGAGCTCCAAAGCCTGCCTTCTGCCCGGCCTGGGGGAGCCCGCTGACAAGGCGGGGTCGTCCCGGTCCTGGAGGCCACCCACCAGGCCAATGTGGGGGCGTCGGGGGTGAGGGCAGGGGAGTCTGGGGAGGAAGTGCCCTCCCAGAGGGGCCCCAGGTCACTCTGGTGTAATTCACTTCCAAGGTGTGAGCAAGGGAGAAGCGAGAGCCGTGAGGGGCAGACATGGGAGCGGCCTGGAGCCCGGCCAGGTGGTGGGGCCAGGCTGGTTAGGCAGCCGGGCCACCAGTCTGGGTCACACCGTGAGCACAAAGGGATTCTTTCGTGGGCAGCTTCAGGGCTGGGGACGGTGGCAGTGACAGTTATTAGTAATATCTGTGATACAGCCGTCCACCCAGCACGTCAAAAAATTGAGTGCTGGTTTGGCTGGCTGGTTTGGCTCAGTGGATGGAGCATCAACCTGTGGACTCAGGGGTCCTGGGTTCGATTTCAGTCAGGGGCACGTGCCCAGGTTGCGAGCTCAACCCACAGTGGGGAGTGTGCAGGAGGCAGCCAATCAGTGATTCTCTTTCCTCATTGATGTTTCTATCTCTCTCTCCCTCTCCCTTCCTCTCTGAAATCAATATAAATATATGATATATATATATATATATATATATATATATATATATATATATATATATTGTATGTATGTATTTTTTTTTTTTTAAGTGAGAGGCTTAGTTTAGGGAAGATCGTACAAGGCGCAAAAAAACTATGTGGCCTTGAAAAAGGCTCGCCGGCCGGGCCCTCACTGCCCAGGAAGGAAGTAGCAGGAAGTCCCCAGAGGGTGGCTGTGGAAGGAAGGGAACCAGGCTTCCGGGAACCACCTACCCCGCCCAGTGCAGTTAGAGCTCTCCTCCTCTGTGGTCTTGGACAACGATAGGCCAGGGCTGTCCTCCACTGAGGACGGAGCCCTCTCCCGCCAAGACACCGAGCACTCCAGGGGGCTTGTGGAGTGGAAGTCAGAGGCCTGGCGGTGGGCAAGGCTCCCACCAGTGGTGCCCCCAGTGCCGAGTTCCAGGGCTGGGGAACGTTCCCCCGGGACGTGGATTGCTGCTGGCACCCCCTGCGGCGTGTCCTTTCACGGACCCCCGGTGCCTTAAGCACGGCTGACCCCTAGTGCTGTGGGTGACTTCCCACCGGCATGCCAGCCCCGGCCCCCGGCCCAGGCCCCTGTCCCGGGGGCTCCGGCCGCCCGGTGTGGCAGCCTGGCCGGCGCATGCTCGCTTACGCGCTGCTCATTAGCGGAGCCCGCTGGCTCTCGAGGGCTCAGCCAGGCGGCTGCCTGTGGCGCGTGGCAGGGAGCATCCGCGCCCTCCCGGTCCCCTCCATGCCAGGGAGGGAGCAGGCCGCAGGCATCTGAGTCTGTTCCCGCAGCCCTTGGTGGTGGGGGCTGGAGCCAGGAGACATGCCTCAACCCGCAGGCCTCAGGGACCGTGCTGTCCGCTGCCGGGGCCTTGCCCTCCCCTGGCCCAGGGGGCCATCCCGCACTCTCGGTTGTCTGTCTTACCACCATAACCGCTGCCCTGGGACCCCACCCACGTGCTCTGCGGCTGCCACACGCCCCCGTTGTGCCCCCCAGCACACAATCCTTGGGCCGAACGGAACTGTTACTGCAGGTCAATGTAGACGACCCTGCTTGGCTGAGATTGGTGAGGGCATGAATGAACGACCCCACGCAGGCCTCACACCCTCTGACAAAATGCCCCTTGACCCCGGGGAACTGCCAGGCCCGTCCCAGAGGAGGCCCCAGGAGGTGGTGACAGGCCTGGGCAGGGCGCTGCGGGGCCTGTTGCAGAGGGCACACTTGGGCAGGGAGCCACCGTCTCCCACAGCCACACAGGCCGCCCAGCCTCTGCCTCCCTCCGGCGGCCTTCCCCGACCTCCCCGCCCCCCGCGTGCTGCTGCACACGCCTGCGACCTGAGAGATGCCGCTTGGTGGTCAGGACGCAGTTGCATATAAAACTTGTTTTATTTATGACGTTGATGACTTCTAGCTCTGAGGGGGAGCGGTGTGTCTGTTTATTGTTTAATTCCTGGTGCCTGGGCAGGGCCTGGCCCGTGGCAGGTGTTAGTAAATCTCCATGGTTCCACGGACGAATCAATAAATGAATGCGCGCAGGTTGAAAGAAGTCGCTCCAAGTGCTTCTTCCTCTTCTTTTTTTCAATGTATTTTATTGATTTTGTACAGAGAGGAAGAGAGAGGGATAGAGAGTTAGAAACATCAATGAGAGAGAATCATGATCAGCTGCCTCTTGCACTCCTCCCCCACCCCCCCAATGGGGATGTGCCTGCCACCAAGGTACCTGGCCTTGACCGGAATCGAACCTGGGACCCTTAAGTGCGCAGGCCGATGCTCTATCCACTGAGCCAAACCGGTTTCGGCCTCCGGGTGCTTTTTGAAGGAGACCCCACCATTCCCCGGGCTGCGCCCCAGAACTCCCAAGGGGGTGTGCGGGCCAGCGTCTCTGCTGGGGACAGTGCTGGGTTGGGTATGCAAGACAGCTGCTCCACAAGGCCGGCCACGGTGTGCGAGCCCCGAGGGACCCCATGTGCCCGCGGTGGGAGCAGGGGCCGCGGGTCTGCGAGCCCAGTGCCTGTCCCCGAGGCGCCCGGCCCGGAGCCCTGCCTCGGCTCGCCTCTGTCAGGCAGTGTCAGGGCCGCCGGCGGGGCCGGCACCGGCCTCCTTGTTTACTGGCTGACGGCGGCTGTCCTTGAATGCGCCCCTTTCAGGCCGAGGGCCGGCGGCACGGCCTGTTTCCCTCCCAGGCCCCGCCGCTCTGTCTCTGGTCCTGGGTGTCCTCCACGGACTCCTGTCCGGCTCTCTTGGGGGAAGAGCCCATCTCTACAAGGCTGTCTCTGTCCGCGCTTCTCTGTTGGCGACACTCGGGGTCCCTACGTCTCTTAGAGAGACCCCCTCGGAGCCCCTGGAGTGGCTGGGGTTCCTGCTCACCTGGGCGGCTGGGAGGAGCATGGCCTGGGAAAGAGCACATTGTCCCTTACAAAGGGACGTGCAGCCACTTCCAACCCGGGTTCCAAAAGGCACTGCCTTCAGCTCGGCCTCCCAGCCAGGCTGCAGCTCCCCAGGCAGGTCTGGTGTTCCCTTGGGGCAAATCCCCTCCTCTGCCCCTCCTGACCCCCCCTCTTCAGCAGCCCCCTCCCCCCACCCCCTCAGCTCAGAGACCCCTTCCTGGAGTCATGCCCTCTGTTTCCCCTAACAGACTCTGTCCTCCCAGTCTGGCATGGGGCCTACAACTCTGGTCTCCCCCCCGCCCCCCACCCCAACCCCGGCCAGCACCCCCAGCTCAGGGCAGCAGCTCCCCCAGAGCCCCCTCCCCAGCCCCGGGCAATAGAGGTGGCTCCACTGGGCTCCCCCACCCTGAGTCCCAGGATGCCCTTCCCAGGTCTGGCCCAGCTCAGCTGCCTCCCCTTCCCCTCGCCCCCAGCACACCCAGCGCCCCCCGGAAAGACCTCAGCGGGGGGAGAGGTCCAGCACCCCTTCCTCCGCGGCCTCCTGTCACGGGCAGCGTGCTCAGCCTGGCAATGCGGTGGCGGCGGGAGGGGCGCTGTCTGGACACAGGCGCCTTTGTGCCAGCCTGACTTGGCTGCTTGGTATGAAGCTCAGCTGCTCCCAGGTCCTCACCCAGAGCGCAGAGGGGACGCTTCAGAGACCGGGGCTGGGGCGCTCCCCACCCTGGACCCTGGCTGCCCCTCGGCGTCTCACCTGTCGCTCCCTGGCAGCAGCTCTCAGGTGGGATGGCGCCCTGGAGTGGGTGCTCGGGGGCTGGGGAGGGGCTGGGGAGGGCAGCCCCTCCTCCCTGCTCTCCCTGCTGCCAGGTCCGCCGGGGCTCCTGCCAGCAGAGGCGAAGCCCCGTGTGGGCGGGCGGCAGGAGCTTGGCGGGTCCGTGGTGTCCCCGCTGGGGGAGGAGCAGAGGGTCAGGCCTGGAAGCAAAAGCCTCGCTGATGGTACCTTCTCTCCTGTCCCCACAGAACGGTGCTGTGCCCAGCGAGGCCACCAAGAGGGACCAGAACCTCAAACGGGGCAACTGGGGCAACCAGATCGAGTTTGTACTGACGAGCGTGGGCTATGCCGTGGGCCTGGGCAATGTGTGGCGCTTCCCATACCTCTGCTATCGCAACGGGGGAGGTACCCGGCGGGCACAGGGCAGGGACCACCCACTGGGGTAGAGCCCACTCACCAGGGCCCAGGCCAGCCCCCATCCCATCCCCCACCCCGGTACAGGCCTCACTGCCCACAGGCAGGCCCCCAACCCTGACCTCCTGCGGCCCCATCTCTGGCTTAGATGCCCTTTTCCCAAGGCCCAGACCACCCCTGACCCTGGCAGTCTGCCTTCTGGGCCCGCCCTGCCAGCCTGCTCCCTCCAGGTGGAGGGAGGTGGAGAAAAGCACCCCAACCTCCCGAGGTTCCCTGCTTTCTATCCCGTATTTCAGTAGCACACACTCCACCCCCTCCCCCCAAGTAGCTGAGGGACATTCGAGGATCCCAGCACCTAACGTTATGAGATTGCTTGGCTAAGCCATCAAATCCCACCTAACCACGGTGCTCTGGGGCTTGGGTTCTGCTCAGAGCAGATTTCTGGGAGCCTCTGACGAGATCAAAGACAGGCAGGGCGGGGCGGGGGGTGGGGGTGGTCTGGAGGATCTGCCCCATGTTCAAAGGTGAGGCCAGCTCCGTGTGAGGCACACCCTCCTTGGGTCCTAGCCAATGCCGAAGGTTTGGCTGTTGGGTTCCAAGCAGGAAGAGGGAGGGACCCCCCTCCCCCTGCCCACCCCTGAGCCGCCCTCTCCCGGCCCGCCCGCCAGGCGCCTTCATGTTCCCCTACTTCATCATGCTGATCTTCTGCGGGATCCCGCTCTTCTTCATGGAGCTGTCCTTCGGCCAGTTTGCAAGCCAGGGCTGCTTGGGGGTCTGGAGGATCAGCCCCATGTTCAAAGGTGAGGCCTGGGCTGGGTACACTCACACATGCACGACGCGCGCCTAGGGGGGCTGTGCAGACTCGCCCATCTGTACAAACACTGCCACCCCCTGTGGAACCCTCACGCTGACCCCGTGCCTCACATCAATGACCAAGGCCATGGACACATGCTGGGACCCATGTTTGCTTGGCCTCCACCCTTCCCTCCGACGTACGTGTGTAAACAAAACCCCTTCACACACACACACACACACACACACACACACACACACACCCTCCCCCCGGCTTGCCCTCGCCAAGGCCTTGACCCGTCCCCTCTGTGGCCTTGCATGAAAGCCTGCCCCCGCCTCCCCCCAGCCCTTCACAATGAGCCTCGCCTCCTCCGGCTGCTGCGTGAGGTGAGGCTCTGCTCTCCGCCCTCCCCCAGGTGTGGGCTACGGCATGATGGTGGTGTCCACGTACATCGGCATCTACTACAACGTGGTCATCTGCATCGCCTTCTACTACTTCTTCTCGTCCATGACCAACGTGCTGCCCTGGACCTACTGCAACAACCCCTGGAACTCCCCCGACTGTGCCGGCGTGCTGGACGCCACCAACCTCACCAACGGCTCCCAGCCGGCCTCCCTGCCCGGCGGCAACCTCTCCCACTTGCTCAACCGCACCCTCCAGAGGACCAGCCCCAGCGAGGAGTACTGGAGGTGAGGCCCCCCGGGACCTGGGCTGCAGGGACCCCTGGTGCCACCCCGCGGCCCTCCCTCTCGCCGCTGGGCAGCCGTCCGCAGAGCTGGTAGGGTGCCTGCTGCACGGCCAGCCCTCCGCCGGGCGCCGAGGGAGGCAGAGGGGCATGAGGAGGTGTAAGGGGTTCACGGCCGGTTCAGAAGAGGCTGACACACCAGAGAGCACTGGGAGACGGGAGGTTGAGTTGTGGAGTCTTTAGGAGATAGCAGTCAGGCCAGTGTGCAGAGGAGAGGCGGGGAAAGGGGGGATGGCCTCCTGGTGAGGAGGACAGTGCGAGCAAAGGCCCTGGCGCTCAGATGGGCAACGGCTGGTCTAGAGCTCGAAGGGAAGCTGTTCTGATGAGAGGAACAAGAGGTGGCCACGGCAGGTTCTCTTAGGTTCTTATAGGTTCTCCAAGAATTTAGATTTTTAAAAAAATACATTTTATTGATTTTTCACAGACAGAAAGAGAGAGGGATAGAGAATTGGAAACACCGAAGAGAGAGAAACATCGATCAGCTGCCTCCTGCACGCTCCCTACTGGGGATGTGCTCGTAACCAAGGTACAAGCCCTTGACCGGAATTGAACCCGGGACTCTTAAGTCCGCAGGCTGACGCTCTATCCACTGAGCCAAAACGATTAGGGCTAAGCCTAGATTTAATGCTGCAGAACACAAGGAGCCGTGGACGCTTCTTGAGCCTGAGTCTGTCATCCTAAAGCTGTGCTCAGGAAAGACAGGTCCCACTGTGCTCTGTGGTCATGGAAGGCCAGAGCCTCAGAGCTGCTGGGACACCTTGTCCCAACGGGTGGCTATGAGAATGCCCTGGAGGAAATCCCCTATGTCAGGCTGGAGAACCTGTGGGCAGAAGGCTCTGGGAGTTGATGGTAAACCTCATTCATTCACTCTGCAAATATTCACTGCATAGCCTGCCAGGCCCTGTGTCCCCATGGGGTGCGAATGGCCTCGGGCTCCTGTCTTCAGGAGGTCACCGTCCAGTGGAGAGACGTAGCTAATATGCCAGGGGCAGGTGCTTCCTGCAGGACTGTGTAGGGGGTGGTGGGGGCACATCAGGTAGCGGTCAGTCCTGAGGGGGTGGAGGCCAGTTGATGTGGCTAAGACGGCTCTTCAGAGGAAGGAGAGAAGGGATTGGAAGAAATGAGCAGGTAAGCAGAGGCCAAGAGATGGCAAATGGAGCTGGGGTTGGGGGCAGGTGGGACACTGAGTATTGAGTCAGAAGAAGCCAGCGGGCATCCTATGGTGCAAGGCTTCCCTGGCCAGGCTAAGGGTTTGAGGCTTTCTCCTCTAGGTCACGGGAGCCATAGGAGAGATGGCCAAGGCCCCAGTGACACTCAAAGTCCTAGTAGATCCATATCCTCTAAGCCCAGTCCCAGAGCTCAGACTCCTGAGGCCCGGCTTCCCGGGCTGGGCTGTAGACATTCAAAGAGGAAGAGAGGTTCACTGCCCTTGGGGGGGCGGGGTTCATGATGGAGACAACAGGGAAAACTCCATCAGCCACTAAACAAATCATTTCGTGAGCACCTGGCAGGTACCAGGCCCCGCACTGCCTCCTGGAGCTCACATCTGATGGGAGAACCAAGCAAAAAAGGACCCCGTTCTGTGTTCTGCATTTGAGACGTGATGTGGACTGGGCCACTTGTCCTAGACGAGGGGGTGCACCTCTCCAGAAGCTCCCAGATGCACAGAGCCCCGCCCACACCCCCAGATGTCCCAGAAGAGCTTGCCACAGGGCTGCCTGCCAGGGATTCCCAGCCCAGGTGGGCCACCCCGGGCAACGCTCTGGGGAGCTTACTCAGTGCAGTCGGAGGGGACGAGGAAGACTAGTTATGGGTGGGAGGCCAGTTGGACTCTACTTCTCAGCCAAGGCAGGAGCCAGGCCTGCCCAGGGAGCGCCAGTTCCAGGCTGGAGTGCCTACCAGCAGGATGGCTTCCCGGTGCCCCCTCCTGGAGAACCCGGGAAAGTGACCCTGGAGAGGGCTACCCAGGCTGGCTTCAAAAGGAAGAGAGAAGTGAGCACCCCCTATTTCCTGGGCACCTGCTATGTGCCAGGCACCTTCTCTCAGGGGATAGTAGCATCCCAGTTTCTCCAATTCTGAGACCAGCATTGGGAGGGTAAGGAACCAGGCAGCATTGCTGCATCAGGAATGTGCTGCAGGTCCCACCGGGCTCCTCTGTGCCTGGCGCCTGATGGTAATTAGGCCAATGCTGCCCGGCAGGTGTTCTTGGTCCACGCTCTCCAGCACCCCCTCGGAAGGCTGCGTGATCTCATTTGAGCCCCACGACAACCTTCCTAGCTAGCTTGTGCAGGTGTTATAGAATACTCCGAGCCGAAACCGGTGTTAGCTCAGTGGTAGAGCGTCGGTCTGCGGACTGAAAGGTCCCAGGTTCAATTCCGGTCAAAGGCATGTACATTGGTTGTGGGCACATCCCCGGTAGGGGGTGTGCAAGAGGCAGCTGGTCAATGTTTCTCTCTCATTGACGTTTGTAGCTCTCTATCTCTCTCCCTTCCTCTCTGTAAAAAATCAATAAAATATATTAAAAAAAAAACAAAACACTCCAAGTTTACAAATGAGGAAAGCAAATCAAAAGGAAGATTAAACAACTCCTCTAAGGCGAGAGAAGCCCCGAGGGCAGATTTCTGAGTCTTTGTCAGCCTCTGGCTACCCTCTGGCCCTCGGTCCTCCCTCTCCCACCTGCCCTTTGGCCTTGTTTTACAGTCCTCTGTGTGCTGGTCTGATTCCTGCTCATGGCCCTGAGCTCATGACCGTGCCCTCTCACCCTGCACAGCCCCCGACACCCAGTGGGACTCGGATCCCAGCACCCGCTCCCAGTGTCTTCAGGGAGTCTCTGGCGTCACACAGACCTCACTCAAACCCTGGCTCTGCCATTTACCAGCTGTGTGGCTTTGGGAAGTCATTAAATCTCTCTACGTCTTGGCTGTTCCTCTATTAAATGGGAATGCTTACAGCACCCACCTTATTGTTATAAAGATGAAATGAGATGATGCAGCAAATACCACTAAGAACAGTAGGCACAACGATTGCCACTGCTGGAGATGCAAAGAAATAGACACGGAGTTGGGGGGGAGGGAGAGAATAGACAAGTTTGTCCTATTCTCAGGTATTTGCCATGTGGTTTGGGAAATTTAACACTAATGCAGAATTAGTCCAGGATGTATTGCGTCAAGAACCAACTTGTAAATACGTTGGGTTCCAAGAGCTTTTCGGTTAAATATTTGATTTCAAAAGCACATGGTCCACAATCAAAACCAAACCAAAAACTCAAAATGGTGCCAGAAAAATAAAGGACGAATTCATTATTTGGCTGCCAGGTTAGCCTTCTAAACTCTTTAATCCGTAAGATTGCAATAAAAAATAGTATATGACACTGTCAGCTTAACATCTATCAACAATCTCCTGAATAAGAAGTGATTTCTTTACTTCGGATGCTGGTGTTTGAAGTAAGGTGACTTCATACCAGCTGCAGGACCCTCTGGCTATTCTGGCAAGGTAGAGCTTTTCAACATCCCTGTGCCCTCTGTCAGGCCTGGCCTGGGCAGCCCGAGGCCACAGCCCAGCTGACTTCAGGTTTGAATCCTTTTGCTGTTTACCCCAATGCGCCAATGTATTTTTTTCTATGTGCCACATAGGGAGCGTGGTTGGCAAACACTGCGGAAGGCGACCAGGAGCCTCTCCTTGGTGGTCCCACAGCTCCTGAACTTCTCCCATCCCAGATCTTTGGTTCCTCCATCAGCAAAGAGCCTGGAGAGGGCCTAGCCCTAGGCCTGGCTCTGATGCCTGTTGAAGGAACCATGGCAGTGGCAGGCCTTGGGCAGGAGAGGGAAGCGTTGGGCAGCGCCCTCTGCAGGTCACACGGTGTGAGGGCGACCTGGGGGAAGATTTGAAGGAGAGAGGAAGTAGGCCAAGGTGCTTACAAGTCGAACAGGAAGACCCGTCTGGCAGCATGGTCCCATGAGGAACAGAGTAATATCTCATCCAAAGGCATTAAAAATGTCATGAGGTTGGAGAACTGGTCTGGGCAGGGGGTCAGGGGCGGCGAGGGGAGGTGAAAATAGCTAAGAATGAACTATGCTGAGAGGTCCTTACTATAAGAGGAGAAAGAAGGGAGTCACTATTTACCTCAATTTATCTACAAATTATTCTGGGTTGGTGCTAATACACCCATTGTAGAGATGAGGAAACTGAGGCTCAAGGGCTTGTCTCTTGCTCATGGTTTGTAGCCTGGACAATTGTACCAACCACAGCTGTCCAGGTTTTCCTCCAGGTTTTCCCTTTTTACCTCCCAATTCTTCTACCACAATGTTCATCCATTGATTCATTCAACAAATATGTATTGAGCACTGCTGTGTGCCAGACACCGTGCTAGGCACTAGGGGATACATCAGTTAACAAAACAAAAACCCCTGCCTTCATAGAGGAAAGATGACAAAATAAACAGGTAAGCTTTATGGAATAATGGAAGGAGACAGGTGCTGCAGAGGAAATGATAGCAAAGCGGTGGATGAGGAGTGCTGGGCTACAGTTCTAAGCAGGGTAGCTAGAAAAGGCCGCTTGGCAATAACGACCGAAGGAGGCAGCCATGTTGGCAAACCCAGCTGCATAATTTGTGGGCTCCTAGGAGCTTGTGAGAAAGTCGGGAGCTGCCGGGCGGGGCCGGGGCCTCGGGCCTGTGCTGCTGGGCATGGGGCTGCCGCTCAGCGCGGTCTCCCCTTCCCCAGGCTCTACGTGCTGAAGCTGTCCGACGACATCGGCAACTTCGGGGAGGTGAGGCTGCCCCTCCTCGGCTGCCTCTGTGTCTCCTGGGTGGTCGTGTTCCTCTGCCTCATCCGAGGAGTCAAGTCTTCAGGGAAAGTAAGTGCCCCCCCCCTGCCAGGGTCGCAGGGTCGGTGCCCCCAGGAAGGCCTGCCTCCCCTGACTGCCTGGCTGTGCGTGTGTGCGCGTGTGTCTGTATATGTGTGTGTCTGTATATGTGTATGTATGATGTGTGCGCGTGAGTGTGTGCGTGTGTCTGCATATGTGTGTGTCTGTATGTGTGTGTCTGTATATGTGTGTCTGTATATGTGTGTGCGTGTATGTGTGCGCGCGCATGTGTGCATGTGTCTGTATGTGTGTGTCTATATGTGCGTGTGTGTCTGTATGTGTGTATATGTGTATGTGTGTGTCTGTATGTGTGTGTGTGTGCGTGTGTGTATGTGTGTGTCTGTATATGTGTATGTGTGTGTGTGCGTGTGTGTCTGTATATGTGTGTGTGTGCGTGTGTGTCTGTATATGTGTGTGTGTGTGTCTGTGTGTGTGTGTGTCTGTGTGTGTGTCTGTATGTGTGTGTGTGTCTGCATATGTGTGTGTCTGTGTGTGCGTGTGTCTGTATATGTGTGTGTCTGTATATGTGTATGTGTGTATGTGTGCGCGCATGTGTGCGTGTGTCTGTATGTGTGTGCGTGTGTGTCTGTATGTGTGTATATGTGTATGTGTGTGTGTCTGTATGTGTGTGTATGTGTGTGTGCGTGTGTGTCTGTATGTGTGTGTGTCTGTATATGTGTGTGTGTGTGTGTGTGTGTGTGTGTGTGTGTGTGTGTGTGTGTAGGAGGGTGATGAAGGGCCACGGGAGGGATGAGTGGTGGTTGAGGCAGGTGGGGGCGGGGGCGGGGCGGGCGCTGCAGGAAGAGCCCAGAGGAGCACAGCGGGCCTGTCTCGCGCAGGTGGTGTACTTCACGGCCACATTTCCCTACGTGGTGCTGACCATCCTGTTCGTCCGCGGCGTGACCCTGGAAGGAGCCTTCACAGGCATCATGTACTACCTGACCCCACAGTGGGACAAGATTCTGGAGGCCAAGGTGGGACATCGTGGGCCACCCAGGAGGGACGGGGCGGGGCAGGGAGGCGCCTGCCTCTGACCACAGCTCCCTTTCCACAGGTGTGGGGGGACGCCGCCTCCCAGATCTTCTACTCCCTGGGCTGTGCGTGGGGAGGCCTCATCACCATGGCTTCCTACAACAAGTTCCACAACAACTGCTACCGGTGAGACTCCCGCCAGCCCTGGGGCCCATTCCCTGCCCTCTCCTCGGCCTGGCCCGGCTTCCCCAGGCCCACCAGCTCCAGCGGAGCCTCCTGGCCCACCAGGGCCTTCCCTCCCACTCATGGCCGGGAGGTCCTGGGAACGCTGGATCTGTCAGGTCACCAAAGATGGAGAGAGAACCTTGGCATCAGAGAGAAGAGGGGTAGGGACAGTGATGTCCCAGGGACCTATGGGGACTCAGGAGCCTCAGGCCCACTTAAAAAGGTCCAGAGCAGACCAGAATAGAGGTCGGGGACACCTGCTGGTGGTCTTAATCCAGCATCTAGAAGGGTTCAGGAACCTGGAGAAGCACTGTGTGTAAATTATTAAAGAGTCCAGAGACGAAACATAATTTTGAAAGGCATTATGGGGAGCCAGAGAAGACGTATCGAAAGGAATTAAGTTCTCTTCTGTCTCAGGACCCCTTGCTTTTTATTAACACAAATTGCCCTAAGGCAAGGTGGAGATATACACACTAAAGGCCAGAGTTTGGTGTACAGAGTCCATTGTCAGACTGGAGAGTTTGCCTACAGCTGTTCAGGTGTTTAGCCAGTAGGAAGCAATAACATGTAGATTGAAATGCCCTCAGCTATCTGGCAGCAAGCAATCATTTTTGCATCCTTTTCAGGTTTGGGGAAATGCCCTCAGCCATTTCCAGGTGATTCAGCCCTGCTGACATGCTGGCATTGGCTTCCGGCAGACACCTCCATCCCTAGAACTTTCCCTGTCTCCGAGTCCTCTTCTGGCCCAAATCAGGCAGAGGGGAGCAAGCCGTATGCCCTGAATTGGCCCGTTTTCTTCCCCACCAGGGATAGCGTCATCATCAGCATCACGAACTGTGCCACCAGTGTCTATGCTGGCTTTGTCATCTTCTCCATCCTGGGCTTCATGGCCAATCACCTGGGTGTGGACGTGTCCCGCGTGGCAGACCATGGCCCCGGCTTGGCCTTTGTGGCCTACCCAGAGGCCCTCACCCTACTGCCCATCTCCCCGCTCTGGTCCCTGCTCTTCTTCTTCATGCTCATCTTGCTGGGGCTGGGCACCCAGGTAGGTGGTGTGGATCGGGAAGAGGGGAAGGCACAGAGCCCGGGCTCCTCCTCTGATGGCCATCCCTGCAGTTCTGCCTCCTAGAGACGCTGGTGACAGCCATTGTGGATGAGGTGGGGAACGAGTGGATCCTGCAGAAAAAGACCTATGTGACCTTGGGCGTGGCCGTGGCCGGCTTCCTGCTGGGCATCCCCCTCACCAGCCAAGTAAGAACCGAGGGGGAGGCTGGGCTGGTGTTGCCAAGGTGCGAGGGGGCGCCGGGTCTGGGAACCCAGCCACAGTCCCTGACTCGGCTGCCCGCTGGCTCTCAGGCAGGCATCTACTGGCTGCTGCTAATGGACAACTATGCGGCCAGCTTCTCCTTGGTCGTCATCTCCTGCATCATGTGTGTGTCCATCATGTACATCTACGGTAAGTGCCCAACCTGCCTCGGCCTCTCCCGCCCCAGCCCCGGGCCGCCCACACCGTCCTGCCTGGCCACTGACGCCCCTCTCTCCAGGGCACCAGAACTACTTTCAGGACATCAAGATGATGCTGGGGTTCCCACCGCCCTTCTTCTTCCAGATCTGCTGGCGCTTCGTCTCCCCAGCTATTATCTTCGTAAGTTCCTGGGCCGGCCTCTCACTTATCCTGCGGCCTCTTGGCAGGTGTCCTTCTCGTGGGAACCGGAGCTCCCATGAGGCCCCACGCTCTGGCCCTTGTAGTCTAAGGAGGTGGCGTAGAGTCAGACAGGCGTGTGGAGACTCAGAACCACCCTAGCCCTCGCCTTGAGTTCGGAAGGGAGCACGGAACCCCAAATCTGAGTGGCAGGAGACAGCAGTTTGGCAGCAGCTGAATCGGCCCTCTCTCCCTGGGCCCTGGAGGGACCTCAGGAACCATGATTGATATTGGTGGCAGCCTCACTGAGCATCTTTCTCCAACCCATCACAGCCGAGGTGCTCCAGGTGCCCGGGGTCCGTGGTGTGAATGCGTGATTGTTCCGGAAGCAGGCTGTGCCCAAGTCAGGTGTCAGCTCAAGATCAGGGACAGCCTGTAAGCCGTTCAGGCACTGCAGTGGGCTGACTTGGGAGAGGGAAGTCTTGGTTACCACCAATACCCAGCACCTGGGAAACCCACCTGGGAGCTGAATTAGTGGCAAGAACTCCCAGACACTTTCTACACACTGTTTATACACTAACTTACTAGAGGCTTGGTGCACAAATTGGTGCACTAGTGGGAATTTGTGCACCAGGCCTCTAGTGAGTTAGTTATTATTTGAGATCAGGCCAAAATCAGCTCTCTGATATCCCCTCAGGGGTCCCAGATTGTAAGAGGGCACAGGCCAGGCCAAAGGACCCCACTGGTGCACAATTGGGAACAGGGAGGGACACGAGAGGTTGGCCAGCCAGGGAAGGACCACAGGAGGGCTCCAGGGCATGTCCAGGCCACCTCGCTCAGTCGTGATCAGCCAGACCTCAGCACCAAGCTAACCTACTGGTCGGAGCATCTGCTCCCTGGTGGTCAGTGCACATCATAGCGAGCAGTTGAGTGGCCTTAGCATATCCTTAGCATATTACACTTTGAACAGACAACAGGACAATTGGACACTTAGCATAGTAGGCTTTTATTATATAAGATGTACTAGTACAACTTTCCGAGGTATAATTATGATCCCCACTTGACAGATGTGAAAACTGAGGCATGGAGATGTTAAGTAGCTGACCCAAGGTTACTCAGCCAATAAGAGGCAGTGCCACTACCCTAAGCAGGTAGTCCAGTCTGGAGTCTGTGTGATGGGCCAGCGCCACCCTACAAACCACCACTGGGAGGAGCTATTACTTCCTTTAGATTTTGCTCCTTTATGCTCAGGGTGGGAAGTGGGAGCACAAGGGGTTTGGTAGGGTAATGGTCACCCCACAGAGAAGAGGCAGGGCCGTCTCTGAGTGACAGAGGGGTCAGCCCAGGGCGAGGGCAGTGTCCAGAGCCATGCCCCTGTCACACCCGACTCCTGTGCCACAGGGAGCTCAGCATCGGGTTTTCACTTTGGCTCATGTTTCTGAACAAAAGGCCCCTGAGGGCTGAGGCCTCCACACTCCATGGGGTGTGGGATTTTCCCTGCGCCTGGCACAGGCACCAGCTCTGGCCACTGGCCCAGCTTTGAAACAGGAGGAGCGGAAGTCTCCGGTAGGTGGTGAGAGGCCGGGAGGGCAGGCACTGCCACTAAGCGCCGTGCCCTGTGGGGCCCAGGCCCTGCCTGAGGGGAGCTCACCCTGGGCAGGCTGCCACCCTGGGGAGGGACGTGGAGCAGGTCAGGAGGCAGGAAGGAGGGGGGCACAAGAAGGACCCGCAGGGGCAGCCTCGGCCTGGCTCCGATGCCATCGAGCTAGGCAAAGTGGGCAGTGTCCTCTCTGCACAAACACTTAGGCTGAAGTTAAAATATAAGGTGAGAAGCTCTAGCCGGTTTGGCTCAGTGGATAGAGCGTCAGCCTGCAGAGTGAAGGGTCCTGGGTTTGATTCCAGTCAAGGGCACATGCATGGAGGAGGCAGCTGATCAATGATTTTCTCCTCATCATTGATGTTTCTAGCTCTCCCTCTCTCTTCTCTAAAAAGAAAAAAATATATATATGTTAAAAACAAAAAACATAAGGTGAGGACTCCAGGCCCTGTGGACACATGGTCTTACATTTCTTTTTGTTCATTCTCGCCTGAGTATATTTTTTTCAATAAAAGAGTGGAAGAGAGGGGGGGTGGGCAGAGAGAAACATAGATGTGAAAGAGACACAATGATTGGTTGCCTCCTGCCCGGGGATCAAATTTACAACCCAGGTACATGCCCTTGACCAGAATCGAACACGAGACCCTTTGGTCTGTGGAATGACACTCTAATCACTGAGAAAAACTAGTCGGGGCTGTGTATTCATTTCTGAAAGGTTTTTTTTTTACAAACTCCATCCTTTGTCAGCTCAGTGAAGGGATTTGTCCACACCTAGATCAGGTTCTAGGTTCATTCAGGAAACTTGTTATAAGCTCCTACTATGTGCAGTGTCCTACTATGTGCAGTGACCTCACAATGGATGCGGGTCTTGACCTCCAGAATTTGGTCACTGGAAGGCTGGGGGAGACTGAGCTTTAGGGCTCAGCTGAGAGCTCAGGAGGCGAATGCTGAGCCCCGCTGGGTGGCCCATGAGCCATCGGCCCATCCATCATCTTTCTGCTTCCTTTAGTTTTATTTTTTAATTATAGTTGACACACGATATTCTATTAGTTTCAGTGTACAGCATAGTGGTTCGATATTTATATACTTTATAGAGTGATCACCCTGATAAGTCAGTGCCCAACTGACACCATACGGAGTTCCTCACATCCTTTAGGTTTTCCGTTTCTCATCTCGCCTCTTTGGGCGGGAAGACGCCCAAAGCATCTTTCCAAAGCATCCCGGGCCAGACACGCACCATGCCCAGCCTTAGGAGCCTCCCCAGGCTGCCCAGAGACCAGGGGCTTCGCCTTCTCTCCCTCCTTTCTGCACAAGTCAGTTCAAATCAGCAAATGAGGTTGTGCCAAGCAATGTGCTGGGCACAGGAGAGCCAGAGCTGATGCAATCTCAGGAGTGCCCGGGTGTATGGGGACTATTAAATAAATGCTTAGCAGATGGGAAAAGCCTTCCAGGGGGCAGAGATGGGAAATCTGGAGAGGCTTCTTCTATTCATTTCATTTACTAATTTATTTACTTATTTAAAAAATCATCACCCAAGGATATGCTTTTTCATTGATTTTAGAGAAAGGGAGAAAGAGGAAGAGAGAGAAACATTGGTGAGAGGAACATGGATCGGTTGCCTCCCGCAAGTACCCCCACTGGGGATCGAACCGGCAACCTGGGTATGTGCCCCGACTTAGAATCGAGCCTGCAACCTTCTGGTGCACGGGAAGACGCCCAACCAACTGAGCCACACTGGCCTGGGAGGGAGCAGCTTCTCGGAGGAGATGGAATTTGCTTAGATGGGGTGGAGGATTCTCTGGAGTAAATGGAAAGGGTAGGAACACTGGGTGTGGCCGAGACCCTGAGGCCAGGGCAATCTGGCCAAAAAGATAAACTGAGGCCTCCATGTGAGGGGATCAGGCCTCACTTCGAAAGGCTGTAGGGAGCGGCAGTGTCTTTGAGCAGAACTGACTTCCAAAGGTGACAGCAGCTTCGTGGTTCCCTGGCCGGACCAGAATCACGGGGAAGCCAGGCCTCTCCCCTTCCATCGTACGCACATGCTGTCGCGCCCTGGACCCTGATTCCATCTATCTGCTTCTTGCACCACCCAAAAGTTGGCATTGGTCCTGCCCTCCCCCAAATGCCTCTTATTTTATCTTGGGAAACTAGAGAGGAAGGGAGGGGTGCTAATAGGAGGCCTGGGTGGGTCTGATGCCCACTCTTACCCCCTCTCTCTGCAGTTCATCCTCATCTTCACCGTGATCCAGTACCGGCCAATCACCTATAACCACTACCAGTACCCAGGCTGGGCGGTGGCCATCGGCTTCCTCATGGCGCTGTCCTCCGTCATTTGCATCCCACTCTACGCCCTGTTCCAGCTGTGCCGCACAGATGGGGACACCCTCCTCCAGGTGAGGGGCGCCAATGAACTGGGACGGGGTAGATCATTGGGGGGTAAGGGCCCTCCTCTGACATGCCTTGCCTTCCCCTCCCCGCCCCCCAATAGCGTTTGAAAAATGCCACAAAGCCAAGTCGAGACTGGGGCCCCGCCCTCCTGGAGCACCGGACTGGGCGCTATGCCCCCATCATGCTGCCCTCCCCTGAAGACGGGCTGGAGGTCCAGCCACTGCACCCGGACAAGGCCCAGATCCCCCTCGTGGGCAGTAGCATCCCCCTGGTGGGCAGTAACGGAAGCCGCCTGCAGGACTCCCGGATATGAGCATGGCTGCTGGGAGGGCCCCAGCCCCACCTGTGCTCCCGCCGCAGAGACTGGGGAGGCAGCGGACGGACGGGCATCGTCACCGCCTGCCCGCCGTGCCCTGCGCAGGGCGACTGCTGTCACCTTGGCCACCACCGCTAGGGCGGTCATTTGTGCTCGTGTCCCCAGTGTTTACAGGTCCTTCGGATGCCAAGGTGGAAGCTGGGCCAGGAGAGGGAGGCGGCGGGGCTGCCGGTTGGGCGCTAAAGCACTTTGAAGGGGTCTCGGGCCAGGTCCCCAGAGGCCTGCCATGCTTCTGTGGCCTCCGACGCCCCCGCACGCTGCCCCGAGCTGAGTCTCTGGGTGAGCCCCTGCTTGTCCCTGTCCTTGGGCCACCAGCCTCCGACCAGTGTTCCTGCCTTCGGAGCAGATCCCGGCCTCTGCCCGGGCAAATTCGGATCTTCCCACCTGGGGGCAGGGTGAGGGGACGGGGCTGTGCAGTGTTACTTATCAGGCTGTGCCTCTCCTCCCACCCCCCCACCCCCAGCCCTGTTTGTCTGTGTAACTATTTTTGTAAGAACTGTCTTATCTGTGGTTGCCACACCCTTCACCCCAGGCCTCAGGCCCCATCTGTCTTCCAGGCCTGCCTGCACCTCACTCAGCTGCTCTGGGGTTTCCTGGCCCCATGGCAGCCCCGGCTGCCAGGCCCAGTGAGCGGAGGCCCCTGACTCAGCAGCCTGCCCAAAGCACTGGTTCCCGGGGACCGGGGAGGAGTGCTGCTCGCAGGAGGTTGGAACTCAGAGCCCAGGGGAAGGGACCCTACATGACCCCCCCTTTCCCCGCTCCCGCCATCAGGCTGAAGGCCCCGTCTTCCCAAATCGGGCTCCCCTTGATCATGTGCCAAATGGCTCCAGCCCGTGTGCACCGTCCCCTCTCTGGAGCCAGATCTCCTTTCCCCAAGCCCTGCAGTGTCGGTGTGTCCGTCCTCCACGTCCCTCTGTGCAGTGACAGCCCCGGAAGAGCCGCCTCTAATTCTCCGTAGCAATAACGGTGCGCCGCCCACCCCAGTCCATCCGTGCACCACTAGGATTTTAAAGTCCATAGATTTTAATGAAATTTCTATTCCTGTCTCTGAGCTGCCTCTGTGCTTTGTCTGAGTCCCGCAGAGAGACAAGAGCTGGGGCCGGGGTGCGACCTCTGCCCTGTCTACACCCAGGCTTCTGTGAAAGCCTGGGAGGAGAAAGGCCAAAGGCCGTGACTGGTCAGGACCAGATACTGGGAGCTTGGCAAGGGGGTGGGAGGAGGGTTGGACCGACGGACAGGTCCTATCTAAGACAAGATCTGAAGCAGGCGAGGCCATGGCAACGGACAGGCGGCAGTAAGTAGCAGGTGGGGCGAGTTCGGGAGCCAAAGCCTACGCGGTGGCCGGCTGTCAGGACGGGGCCCGGGGCACTGCGCTGGACATCGACGTGGACGCTGGCCTTTCCCCGGGGCTGCACGGGAGCTTCCGTCCCCAGCGGCAGGCAGCAGCCGGGCCTTGAGGCCTGCGTTCCAGAGGAGGAGCGGGCAGGTGGCACTGGAGAGGCCTCGCCCAAACTCCAGCAGCTCCGCGGAGGCGAGGCAGGGGTCGGAGGCCCTGGCTGGAGGACCCCGAGGGCTGCTGCCTGAACAAGGAGTCGCCATGAGAGGGCCATAGCCCGACTCTCAGCCCACCCCGTGCGGCCGCCTGCTGGCCCTGGTTTACCTGTGGCTGGGGGAGACACGGGAAGGCGGCAGCGGTGTCTGCAGCTCCTGCTGCATGGCTGTCTTCTGCTCCTGCAGCTCTGGAGGAGAGGGGTGCCCGAGACAGGGCACCCAGCTCCTCTAGGGGACGTCCAGGTGGGGCGTGGGGAGGAAGCCGGGTACCCGGGGGCCTGCCCAGCTCCTCACCTGCCAGGGTGGGCTCTGGGGTGGCTTCAGAGGCCCGGCGTGCCTTTGTGCACTCCTCTTCCAGGCAGCGCTGTAGGGAGAGCTGGCTCAGGGCCCCAGCTCCACAGCAGGGGCGGGATAGGCCAGGGCAGGATGCAGAGGCCAAGCAAGACCTTGGCAGGGCCCAGGACACACTCTCATCTCAACCACCTGAGGGCAGCCCCCAGGAGAACACTCCCCCCCCCCCAAAAAAAAAAAGCCCAGCTTGACAAGGTGGTGGTTGGCCCAGACCCAGACCCAGGAAAAGAAGAAGGCAAAAGACCGGAGAGCAGACCCAGCAGGTTAATTAAAACGTGCTGACCAGAAACTTGGGCTTCCGGGTTCACGCACACAAGAAGTACACACACGAGAAACGGATACAGGACTCACACAGCCTTTAGGTGCATGCACGCACACAGACACGCGTGCTCCGGGGCTGACACACCAGGCGAGAGGTGGCTGTGGACACTCGGCAGAAAGGCTGGGGTGGAGGTGGGGGCGGGCTGCAGCTCACCTGCAGGACGGGGATCTCCCTCTCCAAGGTGTGACACTCCTCCTCCAGGAGGCCCCTGGGACACGTGGGAGCGCAGCAGCCGGAGCCAGTGCCACGGGACCGCGTCTCAGCGAAGCCCTCCACCCAGCCCCAGCCTCCAGCCCCACCACAGCCCCCCCCCGGGCCTGCCCCACTCAGCCCACCCTGCCCTCTGCTGCCCAGCATAGCCCTCCAGCCCTGCCAAAGCCTCCTCCTGGGAAGAATGCATCCTCTCCTTGCGTACCTCACCCCATCCACCCGGACAGCACTGCCATTTCTTCCGTACGACACCTCTTGCTCCTTTTCTCCCCCACATCACAGCCCTTCCCCTGTCTAAAACTCTTCTCTGCTTTCCCCCGCCTCCCCTCAAGGTAAAAGTCCTCGGGCCATAGCCCCTGCCAGCATGCCAACTTGGCTACGCTCTGGCAGCAACCTGCCCTTCCCATCTCTCAGCCTCACCCTACCCTGCTGGCATGCTGCCTCCTCCCCTCTCTTGTAGCCCCAGTACTTCCAGATCCATCCAGTCCCCTCCCTGTTCCCATCCCCACTACACACTCGGGGCCTCACCGCAGGTGCCTGGCGACCTGGTCAATGTTGGCCATGCCCAGGGGGTCCTTGAGGAGATGGAGGTCTCTAGGGGCGCTGCTGGGAGACAAAGTCAGTATCACGCCGCATGGCCTCCCCGAGGCCTCCCGGACACAGCCCCCCTCTCTGAGACGATCGTGTGTCTTTCCCCACAGAAGCAATATGGCACGGCACAAAGAGGCGGCGTTCTGGGATCTAGGTTTGCACAGGGGCCCGGCCACCCTTGGGCAAATGGGTGGTTCTTTCTGAGCTTTAGTTTCCTCCTCTGCAAAACGGGGACATCACTGACCGCACAGGGTTGTGTGAGAATTGAAAAACGAGCAGCTGCCATTCGTGTCTTAGGAGCATGGCCCTGCTCAGGTACCTCCTTCACTCCCAGCCCTCCTCTGGCTCTGGCTCTGAAAGCCCGAGGGACACGTGATTCCCCGACCCCGCCTCCTTTCCTCCCACCCATGTTTGCATATAGTGTCCCCTCCTCCCGAAAAGCTCTTCTCTCTTTCATCTGCGCTTCTGTCTTTCATCCAAGACCCAGACCAAACCAGTCACCTTTTCCAGGAAGCCTGTGGGCCCCCCAGCTGGGCAGGTGTCTCGGGGCCTCTGCAGCCCTCCTGTGCCCATGCCCAGCACAAGGGCTGCAGCAGGGACAGCCTCAGAGCAGGCGCTCCTGTACGGAGCCAGGCGGGGCCAAGCAGAGGCCAAGCAAGACCTTGGCAGGGCCCAGGACACACTCTCATCTCAACCACCTGAAGGCAGCCCCCAGGAGAACACTCCCCCCCCCCCCCAAAAAAAGCCCAGCTTGACAAGGTGGTGGTTGGCCCAGACCCAGACTTAGGAAAAGAAGAAGGCAAAAGACCGGAGAGCAGACCCAGCAGGTTAATTAAAACGTGCTGACCAGAAACTTGGGCTTCCGGGTTCACGCACACAAGAAGTACACACACGAGAAACGGATACAGGACTCACACAGCCTTTAGGTGCATGCACGCACACAGACACGCGTGCTCCGGGGCTGACACACCAGGCGAGAGGTGGCTGTGGACACTCGGCCAATCGCTGGGGTCCTCTGCCAAGCAGACACCCGGCCCCTCCCCTGCCGTCACCGCTTTACCTGGGCTCACCCACTGGCGTCTGCAATGCCTCCTGCGCTGGGAAATCACCCCCGGGCTCCTCCAAGGCAAAGCGCAGCACCCTGGGGCTGTACTGGACCCACGCCTGGGCCTGGTCCCTGCAGAAGGTGCACACGAAGGAAACTCAGGGAACCACAGGGAAGGCCACCCTGCTCCACCTCAGCCAGAAGAGGCGGCGAAGGAATGAGCTCAGTGGGCCCAAAGGCGGAAAAGCGGCCCCTTGTCCGGGTTAGAGCTGCCCGTCTGGGTTCCGGGGACCGGGCCCCACCCCCGCTGAGGCTCCCACCTGCCCTCGCAGACGGCCTTCTGGCGGAGGGCCCGCAGCAGCTGCCGCAGCTCCCGGCGCACGAGGTCCCTGAGCCGGGGCGGCGGGGCCAGGAGCGCCGAGGGGTCGGAGGCGGCGGCTCGGGAGGATCGCGCCTCTCGGAGCAGAGACCGCAGCATCACCACCTGCAGGGAGAGCTAGGCACCTCGAGACTGGGGAGGGCGGTGTCGGGAGTGAGAAGGGCTGGGGGGGACGGAGGAGGAAAGGGAGTCAAAGAGAGAGCTGGGGGAGACCCCAAAGGAACCCAGAGTAGATGGGGCAACCCCCCGAGTCCGGCCCACCTTCCCACGCGCCCCACCTCCGCCCGCAGCTCCAGGCTCAGGTCCACCATCGTCTCCCCCAGAATCCTCTTCACTTCGGGCCGCTCCGGGGGCGGCACGTGCTCCTCCACCAGCTCCCAAAGCGACGGGCACTCCCCGGGCATGGCCCGCCGCGCCGCCCCCCGCGAGGTCCCGGCTCCGACCCGCCGCCCCCGGGCCAGGCCCCGCCCCCGGCCGGGCCGCTCGCCCGCCTCTTCCAAGCCCCACCCTGTCCCGCCGGCCGCCGGCCCCGCGCCCTTCTCCCGGCTCCGGAGGACTCTCGGGGGTCGCGGTTCTCGGCCACGGCCCCCAGGAGCCGCCAGTGACCAGGGCCCTAGTCCCGCCTCTTCCGCGCGGCCGTCTCCCGGGAAACAGGGCCGCCGCCCAGGCCCCGCCCCCTCCAGCCGCACTCACTGGCGGAGCGTCCTCACGCAGCGGACCGGTGGTTTTGGAGTCTGAACCATCCAGTTATCCGAAGGATCCTGACTCCAAGTACCTTGGTCTCATCCGTGGCCACTTTCTCGGCATCGGGACAGGTGGAAGAGCCGAGTAATCTGAGCCCCTGAGCCTACTTCGTGGCCTCATCTGGCTCAGAGGCCGTGCAGAGTACACCCCTCCCCTTAGAGCACCCCATTGGGAGGGGCCCAGGGTCTGGGGTCTGGATTCAGGGACCCAGAGTCCCATCCCCAATCAGACAAAGGGGCTGGCTGCTCCATTCACGTTTTTTACTAAAGCACCCACACAAGTTTCTGTGCAATGTACAAACACAAGCTAGCCCTGGGGCTACTGCCTTTGCTCTGAGACAGGGAGATGGGAACCAGACTGGCTGATCCAAGCCCCACCTGCCACCCATGCAAAGCCCAAGCCCGAGATCCCAGGCAGTAACACAGCACCCCCTCTGATCCCCTCCTGGGGCTGCTCCTCAGCAGGGGGCCACCAGTTTGCCCCCCGCAATGTTGAATGAAAAAGGTTTCCCCTCCCCCTGGGAGCAAGGGGGATCCCCAGGTCTGAGAAGTCCCCCCTGGAAGTGGCACTGCCCCCGAGTCATTACCTCCCATTCTTCCAGGCCCTAGGGGACTCAAGGGAGGGGAAACTGAGGCACAGAGAGGTGGAGTGACCTAGCCCAGGCCACTCCATGAGGCAGTGCAGGGGCTGGCCCAATCCTGACAGTTAAGGGGGGCTGGCCTGGGGAAGGAGGAGTGAGGAGGAATGACCCCAGAGGGCCCCCCACCCCGCCTCACCCCCAACTTGAAGGGCCTGTTCAGGATGGCAGCCCCTCCAAAGTAGGTTCTGAAATTTCTAGGTGCAGCTGGGAGGGCCTATGGAAGACCCTCAGAAAACAGAGCCCACAGTTCCAGTCCTGGGGGGTCACCCACAGAGCAGCCGCCGGCCAGGCTGAAGGTCAGTCCTCTGGCCAGCAATCCTTGGCCTGGGAGCCTTTGTCCTTCAGTGTCAGCCCCGGGGGGGCCATGATGGGGGCCGTCCGATGTCCACCGTGATGTTGGTGAAGAGCGGCTGCCTGGACACCTCCAGGACCTGATACCGCACTGACGCGATGCCGTCGCGCTTCATGGTCAGCTTCGTGTTTTGGATCTTGGTGAACCTAGAGAGGACGGAGATGATTCCAGATCAGGGCTAAGCACCACACCCAACATCTCTGGGACCAAGGGTCAACCACCTCGGCTTCCTCCAGGGGTGACCCGGTTCTCCTTGCCACTCCTCCACCCTCCACCTGCTTGGAGTCCTTTTGCTCTTAAAATTACCCTCCAAACGGATTCCCCGCCCCTGCCCAAAGTCCAGAACTGTGACATCCCCACAAATCTCTCATCTCAGACCTTCCTTTAGACCCAGACACAGGGCGTCCCACAGACACCCCAAATGCAACGTGTCGCCTTTACTCCCCAAACCATCATCTCGGCCATCCTCTGTTCCTCATCCTGTAGTCACTCCTTCACCATCTATTTGCTGAGCAGTCCCCATGTGCCAGGCTCTCCCCTAAGCACCAGGGGCACAGCCATACACAGGCCAGCAAGTCTATGCCATGAGGGGAGACAGGTCACACACAAGGAACACGGCATTAGTGCCATGGGACATGGGAGAGGGAGACCAGGAAGGCTTGGAAGGGGTGAGTATGTGACATCAAGCTGACAGCAGGAGGGAGAGCATTCTAGGCAGAGGTGGCAGCACCTGCTGATCTAAACTGGGCATGAGAATTTGCATAGCTCTGTGTGGCTAGACCCTAATGGGCCCCGGGAAGAAACAGAGGAGGACTTAGTGTGGCGGTTACATCAGGTATGGGCAGGGCTGTAAGTCAGAGGAAGCGGGTTTTTATTCTGTGAGCAGGAAGACACGGAGGGATTTTTTAGCTCAGTCTCGGGGAGGGAGGGTCCGGGAACATGGACCCCAGAGGGGCAAAGGGGAAGCAGGGAAACCAGTGAGAAGTCCCTGCGGTGGTCCAGGCAGAAGAAGATGGAGTAAAGGGAAATGCTGATGGGCTCGGTATGTTTGGGGGTGGCCCTGGCTCACGGTTCCGACATGTAGGGTGAGTAGAAGACGAATCCAGGAGAGCTCCTAGATTCAAGGCAAAAGCAGCCGGGCAGACGAAACCACCGCTCACAGAGCGCCTTCAGCCAGAACCTCTTGCTATCTTGTCACTCAACAGCCCACGGCAGACATCACTAATTGATGATGGCTATCCTGAACCAGGACCAAGGCTCCCGGCACTGTGCTTCTGGCAGAGCTGCACTCCCATGCCCACTGTGTCCGCCCTCCCAGTCCTTCTGAGCTCAGCTCAGACCCCTCTATGAGCTCTCACTCTCAGCTGCTCTGAAGCCCTCTTCTCCCTGCTCACCGTGATTTTTACCTAATCTGTTTTATCAGCTCCCTGGGCACTCGGGGCTTCCTGCTTCTGCCAAACATCAACCCTACGCCCAGTGCGGCACTCCCCGCTCTTACACCCTGGGTCAGAGCAAGCCACCCTACTGTTCCAGCCGGAGCAGAGCAGCCTCGCTCCCAGCATGCTCCTGGGTTCCCATGGATTCCTTCAGGCCTGCTCGGCTTCCTTCCGGCTCTACCCAGCGGCTCTGCAGCCCTTCGCCTTCCTCAGGCTCCAGGGGTGGTCCCTCCATGACTCCCCGATGCCCCTGGGACAAGAGTGAAACTGACAACCTGGGATTTGAGACTCCCAACACCCATCCGTGATCTTCTCTACCGTTCGTCCCAGCCCTCAGGAACTTGAATACCCGTGAGTTTCGGACTCTCATCATACACCGTGAGTGCTCACATTCCAGAGTCCGACACGTACTATTTCCTTTTATCCGAACTGGCCTCCGCTATGAACCTGGTGAAAACGGCACTGTGCCCAAGGTGGGTGGGCAACAAATACTTGTTGGATGAATAGATGTCAAACCCCAGTTTATTCCACATCCACCATCACTCGGCCAGGACAGCACCTTGCCCTGACCACCTTGTGCCATACCTGCCCGTCTCCCTCCCCAGAAAGAACTTCACAGGGGACATCCTGCTCTGGACCCTTCTCCCCAGCGGGTTTGGCACCAGGCAGTCCCTGAGCAGTGGCAGGAAGCCCTCGTCTACATTCCACATGCTCTCAGGCACTTCTCCTGGCCGGCACCAGGCACCAAATGTCGCTACACCCTCGGAGACAGAGCTGCCTACTCCCACCTCAGAGGATCGGCACTGTCTCTCCAATCCCCATCCCACAGGCTCAGGCCTTTGTGGAGCTCCAGGCCCAGGAGCTGAGCCCGGCGCTGCCTCTCTCTCATCCTATCTGCTCCGAGGGGATGGGAATGCAATCTTCTCAATGACAGTCTGAGCTCTGCCTTTCCATCGTAGTCACTGCTAGGAATCAAGCCAGGAGTGAGCTGCCTGGGTGAGGCGAAGCCGGCGGGCAGGGACCAGGGACCAGAGGCGCCGAGATTTCACGTCAAGGGTCGGAGGTGGGGGGCTTGGGATCATCTCTGGGGACCTGCTGCACAGGGCGTCACCCCAGGGAGTGAGGGGAGAGGAGCCCTCGGGGTCAGGGCGCTGGGGGTCACCTCTGAGGATTGGGCTCGTTATGCTTGTCCCGGTCGTGCTTGATCATGCGGTAGCGGCCAATGCGGACGTCTGGGCGTGAGATCTTCATCCCCGTCAGGGAGATCCTGGGGGCGGGGGACAGACGGACTGGAGCAGGCAGCAGGAAGGGCAAGCGGCCCCGCCCGGTGTGCCCCACCCTCTCATGCACCCGGTCTGCTCTGTCCCACCCTCATGCACCCGGTCTGCTCTGTCCCACCCTCTCATGCACCCGGTCTGCTCTGTCCCACCCTCTCATGCACCCAGTCTGCTCTGTCCCACCCTCTCATGCACCCAGTCTGCTCTGTCCCACCCTCATGCACCCGGTCTGCTCTGTCCCACCCTCTCATGCACCCGGTCTGCTCTGTCCCACACTCTCATGCACCCGGTCTGCTCTGTCCCACCCTCTCATGCACCCGGTCTGCTCTGTCCCACCCTCTCATGCACCCGGTCTGCTCTGTCCCACCCTCTCATGCACCCGGTCTGCTCTGTCCTACTCCCTCATGCACCCGGTCTGCTCTGTCCCACCCTCATGCACCCAGTCTGCTCTGTCCCACCCTCTCATGCACCCGGTCTGCTCTGTCCCACCCTCTCATGCACCCGGTCTGCTCTGTCCCACCCTCTCATGCACCCGGTCTGCTCTGTCCCACCCTCTCATGCACCCGGTCTGCTCTGTCCTACTCCCTCATGCACCCGGTCTGCTCTGTCCTACTCCCTCATGCACCCTGTCTGCTCTGTCCCACCCTCTCATGCACCCGGTCTGCTCTGTCCCACTCTCATGCACCCGGTCTGCTCTGTCCCACCCTCTCATGCACCCAGTCTGCTTGTCCTACCCTCATGCACCCGGTCTGCTCTGTCCCACCCTCTCATGCAGCCGGTCTGCACTGTCCTACCCTCTCATGCACCCGGTCTGCTCTGTCCCACACTCTCATGCACCCGGTCTGCTCTGTCCCACCCTCTCATGCACCCGGTCTGCTCTGTCCCACCCTCTCATGCACCCGGTCTGCTCTGTCCCACCCTCTCATGCACCTGGTCTTCTCTGTCCTACCCTCATGCACCCAGTCTGCTTGTCCTACCCTCTCATGCACCCGGTCTGCTCTGTCCCACCCTCTCATGCACCCGGTCTACCCTGCACCCCGTCCGTCCTCACCGGTTGAAGATGTCGTCATCCTCGCCCCCCCAGCCCCAGTACTCGTTGGGGAAGCCGTTGATCCTCAGGAACTGGGCTTTGCTCAGGCCCGACACGCCTCCGAAGTAGCCAGCGTAGGGCAGCCTGTTGTGCAGGAGGGCGGGCGTCAGGGAGGGGCCTGAGGGGAGGACGGAGACGGGTGGGGAAGAGTGTGCCCGGGCCAGGAGCTGGTGGGGGGGGGGGGGGAAAGAGGTGCGGGGCGGGGACTGGGGCTGGAAGGTGAGGGCCTGGGCATGTTAGATAAGGTGACCAGACGTCCCGCTTTTGGCAGGAGGGGTCCCGATTTTTAACCATTTGTCCCGCGTCCCACGGCGTTTTAAAAAAAGTTTCAAAAGATTTCGAAGACTCTTTCCAAAAACCGGGACTTTTTAAAAACGCCGCGGGACGCGGGACAAACTGTTAAAGATCGGACTGTCACCTTCGCGTTAGGGGAGGTGGGGATGGCGGGGCGGGGAGCGGGCAGTCCTGGCTCCGGCGGAAAGGGGGGCTCTCACCGAAAGCCGAACTTGTCCATGGCGATGGCGAAGTGGCGGGGCTGGTCACCGCAGCGGTACAGGTTGCGGTCATCCATGGGGACCAGGTCCACGTCGCTGAAGATGAAGCAGTCGTAGGCGGCGTCCTCCTTCAGCGCCTCCAGGAAGCCCACGTTGAGCAGCTTGGCCCGGTTGAAGGTGCCCTCGCCGTGCTGGGGTCGGGGGAGGGGCCCGGTCAGCCCCGGTCCCCTGACTGCGAGCACCTGCCACGGTGCCACTGTCCAGAGCGGTCCCCGTGGGCCCGCTACCCACCCCCCACCCCCCTCTCTGCGTGGCTTCTGCAGACGCCTAGGACCACGTCCAGGTCCTCACCCTGGGCCCGGCCTTCTCAGGCCTTTCCTGATTTGGCCCTAGACTCCGCTGCAGCCGCTGCCCTCAGACACCGAGGGCCAGCTGCACCTCATTCCTCAGGGGCCCGACGCTTCCTGGCCTTGGCCTTGGTGCCACAGTGCCCCCCCCACCCCCCGCCCGCCGGGAATGCTCTCCTCGCGTCTGGAAGGCCTCCCTGACGCCTCCCCGCCGCGGTGCCATCATTCATCCCTTCCCGCGGGCTGGTGTCCACTTAAACTGTGATTTAGAGCTCTCGGTTCAATCTTCCCATCACTCAGACACACGCCCCGCGGCCTGGTCGCTGTGCCGGGCGTCTCGTTCGTGCCGCCGGGGACCCTGGAGATGAGCAGCCCTGAGCACGCTGCCTTCCTCCCGAGCACGGTCACAGAGCGAGGCGGGCAGCGAAGGCCCCGGACGCCCAGAAACCGCGGGACTGCGCTCCGGAGCCTCGGCCACCTGTCCCCTCTGGCTCGTCCGGCTCTACACCCAGGCCCCTGGGGAGCCTCTGAGGCCAGGGCGGGCGGGCGAGGTCCCTTGTCTCCCAACAAAACGACAAGCACAGGCAGTCACGGTCCAGGGCGCCTCGGCCCCACCCTGCGATCTCCAGGCTGGAGCCAGGGAGGCACCTGCGGAGGGTCTTTCAGGGGCAAGAGCGGCCCTTCCTCACCGCCAGCTCATGGGTAGGCGCTGCCGCCACCCGGGAGCCCTGAACTGCCCGGGGGTTCTCGCTTCCTTCCCTTCTCCCCCGGCACCTCCGCTCCCTCCCCGTTATCTCGGGGCCCATCGGAACTCGCCAGCCGGGGGCTCAAGTGTCTCTCCCGGGGCTCCTCCGCACGCCCAGTCCTCTCCCGTCAGGAAGAGAAAACCTCCCTCGAACAACTGCCCTCCCTGCCTTTTTGCCGTCCCTTGTTGGCAGAGGTTTGCTTCATTTAAGGATCTGTCTCCAACTGCCCGTTCCCATGTTGTCAGATCTGATTCTTCAACCCACTGCAATCTGCTCCCGCCCCCGCCATGCCCCTGAAATGGCTCGCTCGGGGCCCACCCTGTTGCTAAATCCACTGGACGCTTCTGGGTCCACATCCTTCCTCACGCCCACAGCCACGCTCACGCACTCGCCACGCTTCCTTCTCAGCACGTGTTCCTGGGCTCCCCGGACGCCGCCCCCCCCGCCCCCCTCCGGGGTCTCCTGGCCAGACTTGGCAGCCTCTGAGGCGCGCTCTCTCTCTCTCTCTCCCCCCCCATTTCTTCCCAGCTGGCCTCTCCGCCCAGGCCCCACGCTCCCCGGCAGGCTGGACACTGCTGGTGTTAGGGACCATCTATACCCTGGCGGCTCCCAGACCCCTCTCCCCGCCGCAGACCTCGCTCCAAGGTTGACTCATGGGACCAACTGCCCGCCAATCATTGCGCTCACACTTCCCCCAGGCACTCACACACGTCACACGCAGAAAAGCTTTCAGAGTCATGCTCTCCCCCAGACCTGGTCCGGCTCCTGGGTTTCCATCTTGCTCACAGGCGCGGCAAACACCAAGACGGGGCACTCCAGCTGTCCTGGCGTCTCCCTTTCCTCTCTCTCTCTCCGCCACCGGTGGCACATCTCTCCCTTCCATCCCACTGCGGCTGCCTGACTCACACCGCGTCCACCATTCCTTTCCCCCCATCACAGCCTCTTCCCGCCGGTCACCTGCCTCGCGTCTCCTCTCCCAGGCCGTTCTCCACGTGTAATCAGTGATCGCTCCATAAACAAGCCCACGCTTTGCTCCCCCTTGAAAACTTTACAACGGCCCTGATCAGTTTGGCTCAGTGGGTACAACGTCGGTCTGGGGACTGAAAGGTCCCAGGTTCGATTCCGGTCAAGGGCATGTACCTTGGTTGCAGGCACACTCCCAGTAGGGAGTGAGTGTGCATGAGGCAGCTGATGGATGTTTCTCTCTCATCGATGTTTCTAACTCTCTGTTCCTCTCCCTTCCTCTCTGTAAAAAAAAAAAAAATCAATAAAATATATTAAAAACAAAAAAACTTTACAATGGTGCCCACCACCGACCGGCTGGATTTCAGGTGCTTAACTGGCCTCCTAAAACTGTTATGGGTTTGGCCTCCGTCAGCTCCTCCATCCTCATCTTTGTTACCCACCCTTCCTTTTGGACCCCACACCTCCGCCAACAATCCCTGGACACAGGAGACCAGCTCTCTCGCTGAGGCCTCCGGGTCCCTCTGCCTGGCACGCCTGCCTCCACCAGTCCCCTGCCGGCTGATGCCTGTTCCTCCATCAAGACCCATCTCACCCATTGCTTCCCACGCCCAGGGCTGGACCAGGCCCTCGATGCTCCCACAGCTCCAACTCCAGACGCACTCCACCGCCCCGGAGTCCCCAGGGATCCGAGTCCGAGCCTGGGAGTTTTCTGAGGAGGGGAGGGCCTACGCCAGGCCCACTCTGGGCTCCAGGGGCCGGCCCTGGCTGGGCTCGGCAAGTGAGCCGAGTCCCTTGGCTTCCGCTGGGCCGGCACTGGGCACCAAGGCAGACGTCATCCCCCTTGGAGGACTAACTCCTCCGCTCCTCGGCCCTCAGCACCTCATCGCCGGCACCCCCTCGGCCTCCACCACCGTGGGATGGGGCCCCCCAAAGGAAGACCATGGGGCTCGTGCCCATGAAAGCCAGGCACACACCCGCCGGCGTGCACGCCAACAATCACACGCACGTATCCCCTTCGCGAATATGCACACCGACCCCCACCGGTGATCCACACAGCCACACAACCATGGCAGACAAGGACCACGAACGCCCCCAGGCCCACACGGGCACCCACAGGCAGGCGAGCTCCCCACGCACAGTGCCCCGGGTTCCCCGGCGGCCAGCGCCCGGCGCGGGGGCGCGGGCGGCACACCTGGCTGATGACGTAGACGCCGTAGCGCAGCCGCTGTCGCCGCAGGATGGGGTGCAGGTAGTGGAGCCAGTAGCGCAGGTGGTGCTCCCGGTGTCGGAAGGGGATGATGACGGCCACCGTCTGGGCCGGGGTGCAGTCGGGCGGGGAGTAGCGGCCCCCCAGGAGCACACCCGGGTTCTCCCGCTGCACCCGCTCCAGCGGCATGGGTGAGGTGAACTCAATCAGCAGCCGGCCCACTGCAGGCAGGACGGGGGCAGGAGTCAGGACCTCATCAGCGTCCGGGGACGCCAGCCCTCTCCCTCAGCCCGGGGGGTGGGCGAGGGAGCCCGAGGAAGCAGCCCTCTGACAACAGACCCGGACCCCCTGTTGGTCAGGACTCCGTTCCCCACGGAGCGGTGAGGTCCCCTGCCCACCCCTGCGGGCAGGCCCTGCCCTGCAGGCTCACCAAGGCCCGGCGGCGCGTCAGGACAGGGCGGCAGGACGGGGGCCGCGGAGCCAGGCCGGACGCTGGGGGCCTCGGGGAGTCCGGAGCTGGGGGCGGTGGCGTTGGGCCGGGAGCAGTTGGCGGAGCTGCCGGCGGCTGGGTGGAGGGCACGGGCAGGGCCGCGGGCGCCGAAGCGGCTGAAGAAGGCCAGGTGCTGGGCATAGACGTCGAAGTAGAGGATGACGGCCACGAGGAAGTGCAGCAGGCAGAGGAGGAGCACGGCCTTGCAGACGCGCTCCAGCGTCCCCCCCAGCAGTCTGCTCATCCCGCAGGCGGCCTCCGGCCCGCCCAACGGGCCCGGGCATCCGGCTGCCGGCCTGGCAAAGGCAGGAGAGAAACCAAGCCGGGCGGTCAGGGCCGACGGGCGGGGATACCCACCCTCCTCCTGCCCACTGCTCATGCTCACGGGCCCGCATCCTCACATTTACCTGTGACACTCGTGGACTCACATTCTACCTGCAAAGACACACACACACACACAGTCCCTCGCAACTCAATGCATCTGAATACACACATCAACACATCTTCATGCATCCGAGTACTTTCCCACATACGCTTACATTCCTGTCTACACACACACACACTCACACACACACACACTCGTATTCCCAGGAGGAACATGGACAGGTGGCCTCTGACCACACTGGTTCATACCTAAACACGGAGACAGCTGTACGTGGAGACCCACATGTATGTGCACCTGTGCCCCAGAGAACAGGCACCCCTCAGGGCTCCCGGTCTAAGGCAGGGGGCCATTCCCTGAGCACCTGCCACGCAGGAGTGCTCTGTGCCCATGACTTCACTTAGTCCTCCCAGGAGCAGGGTGGGCAGCTGGAACCAGGCGGGGAAGTGGCCCTCAGCGTCCCGATGGCCCAAATGCAGGATGTCTAATGGGATCCCTTCCTTCAGGAACAAGAGGCCAAAATGCAGGGTGGGGCACAGGCATCCCCTCTAAGACATCAAGGCGTGGGCTGAACTCTCCGGGGCCTGCCCAGCACTGCTGGCTCTGATTGATGCCCAGAACAGGGGCATCTGAGCCCTGGAGACAGAGGGGCAGACAGAGGGGCAGCACTCAGCGCGTGCGGCCAGACAGGGTCCCGCCTGGGCACAGCTCCAGCTGCGGCTCCCCCAGAGCAGCCACACTTCTGAGGCCACTTCCAGCGGCGCTCCGGGGTGCGGGGCGAGTCTCCCTCACCGATCCACAGCCACACAGACACCCTCGGTCCCAGCCAGTCTCACCTGCACTGACACACGCCCAGAACTCCTTGCAGACACGCCCAGGTGACAGTGACACACGAGTTACACACTCACAAACAAAGCCGCTGCTCCTGCCCTCACACAGCCGCACCTACAAGCTCCCGGGCGCCTCCCAACACGCGGCCCCACGTGCAACCCTCCCACCCGTCCTGGGGCAGGAGTTCTGGGCCAGGCTGACCACCCACAGGGGGTAGGTTTGGGCAGGGCTGGAGGGAGGGCTGGCTGAGCCGCCTGAACACGTGGCACCCCGGGACTGGGAGGCAGCGAAGCCGGGGAGGGTGTGGATGGAGCTGGGGGCGGGGGGCAGTGGATGTGAGCGGGGCCGAGGCGAAGGGGAGACGTGAGCGCAGCGCCTCCCCGCGCCACGAGGCCGCGGAGCAGGGACAATGAAGGAGGCCGGTCGGGGGCGGCGGCGGAGCCCCGGGGAGCCGCGGGGTGGGGGTGGGGTGATGCCAGGCCGGGGTCCGGCCGCCAGCGCCTCTCTCACCGGGTCCGGGCGGGGATCGCGGGGCCGGGTCTGGAATCTCGGGGCCCGGAGCTGGGGGGACCCCGCGCGCGCCTCCCTCTCACCCGGCGTTCAGCAGGGGGCGCTGCTCCGGCTGGGGCTGGCTTCCCGGCTCCGGCGGCTGCAGACGGCTCCGTCCCCCATGGTCGGGCCCCGCCGCCTCCCGCCGCCGGGTCAGCGGCCCCCGCGGCCCCCCGGCCGCCTCCGGCCGCCGCCGCCGCCGCCGCGGGCCATGGTGCGGAGCCACCCCGGGGCGCAGGGCGGGGCCGGGCGCCCGGGCAGACCCACGGACCCCGGGCGGACCCCGGGCCGACGGACCACAGCGCCGCCGCCTCCCTCCCGCGCTACGGCGCCTCGGAGGGGCAGGCCCGGCCGGCGCATCCGCGCGCGCGCCCCCGCGGCCCCCGCCTCCAGCGCGCCCGCGCCCGCCGCGCGCCCCCGCGCCGCCCTGCCCGCCGGCGGCCCGGCGCGGAGCGAGGGGAGGAGCGGCCCGGCCTGGGAGGGCGGAGGAAGGCGGTCGGGCTCTTTCAGGGGGTTGGACTCAAGGCCCGGACTGGAGGGTGTGGGTAGGTCAAACCCAGCGCGGGGGAGCGGGGTCTGGGTGGGGGCGCGAATTGGGCCAAAGGGGCTGCCACGGGCAGGTTGGGGACGTGGCAGCTCATTGGTGGGAGCATTATTAAAGGTCTGCCAGGGCCGGCGGAGGGGGGACAGAAGTGTGGTTTGGGCCTGGAGGTGTGTGTGTTGGGGGGGGGGGGGGGTCTTCTAAGGTAACAGGTTGGGTTAGACTGGACAATGCCTCAGGGACCGGGGATCAAATTAGGCACTGGCAAGGGACGGTGCTGGGATAGGCAGAGGCAAATTAATAAGCTCCGAGCTCCACCAGGATGGGAAGTGATGGAGGTCTGAAGGCAGAGCCAGGTAAGGAGACGTGGCCAATGTGGATTTTGCAGACAGAGTCCCAAGGGCATAGGACCAGGCGGACACTCCCCATCCTGCCCCCCACAACCACCTGGGCCCATGCCTCCCCACTCCTTCAGGCCCTTCAATACAGATTTTCAGGGGCACAGAGTCCTCAGCCCAGCACCCTCCCATCCCACCCAGGAGCCAGGTTTGTCCAGAGCAGAGACACTATGTATGAGTGAAGGAGGCTGGCAGGAGATTGAGGCCGATAGGCCTGTTTACCCTCCTGGGAAAGGTGGTAAGAAGAGCGACAACAGCGCACGGACCCAGACAAATACGTTTATTTCACAAACACTGGGAAGACAGGCTGGGGTGGCGGTGGGACACGGGTGCAGAGCTGCGCAATCACCAGCAGCCCACTCCCCACCAGAGGATCCAGCCAGGCAGTGCCTCCAAGTCGCCAGGCAGCAAGAAGTGAGTGCAGGGAGGGCCCGGAACGGCCGAGCCCTGTGAAAGGGGCACAGCTCCAGCTGCCCCGGGAGAACCACAAATAAATAAGAGCGGGGCACGGCCCCACCCACACAGACCGTCTAGTCACCCATCTTCACTCTGGAGGTCTGCAAAAAAAAAAAAAAAGAACAGGAGAAATCAGGTAGAGATAGAGGAATAGGTAAGAGTGACAAATGGCAGATCAGACCTAACGAACTCGTGGTGAGATGGACAGATGACAACAGACGGATGACTGGACCAGACAGAGAAGACACAATTTAGACATGCTATTCAACTGGCACCATAGATGCACACAGGCCCTGCCTAATACAATGGATAGGCTATGACAGACAGACGCAGATGAACAGGGACAGTCAGAGAGCCACAGTCAGGCTGTGGGACAGGAAAATGGTGACATAGACAATGCCAGTCACCCTCAGATCCTCAAGCTGACCATTAGCCACAAACTCACACACTGTCAGACAGAGAAGACACAATTTAGACATGCTATTCAGCTGACACCATAGATACACACAGGCCCTGCCTAACACAGGCAAACGCGCCGAGACAGGCTTATTTGGACACAGACAAGATCCCAACCGTGGAGACAAACAAAGAGAGATTAAATGAAACACAGACACACACACACACACAAAAAAAAAAAAAAAAACAGGAGGAAAAAAAAAATAGGACAGTTGTCAGTGTTTCCAGATTAGAAACAAAATTAAGCCGAAAGCTTCAAAAGGGGAAAACCAGAAGATGGGAACGAGGTGGTAGAAGCTGTTCAGGGGTTCCACAGGTGGAGGCGGGAGCACTGTAGCTCCTCTAGGAGGGCGGGTCTGGGTTAGGGGCAAGGACAGAGGCTCCCCAGCATTCAGCACCTGCAGGATCGCAACGATGACCCCAAAGAGGCCGATGGCGCTGCCAAAGATCTCCACGATAAGAATCTTCACGAAGAGGCTGGGGTTCTGTGCATCGGCCAGGGCGGCTCCACTGCCCACAATGCCCACGCAGACTCCACAGAAGAGGTTAGACAGGCCCACTGTGAGGCCAGCTCCGAACATGGAGTAGCCTGGAGGAATGGAGAGGGAGCACTGAGGCCAATCACAGCCCAGCTGTGCAAAGCAGGCCCAAGTAGGTGACCAAATATCAAAACGAGGTGTCTAAACTGGGGTGGGAAGGGGAAAGCAGATGTCCTAGCTTTTTGCCTGCACACACCCTCCTACCTGCATGATAGTTTCGATGGCCGATGGCTTTGGGGTCCGTGGCACTGAAAGGCTGAGGGAGGCAGAGGAGTAATCAGAAACCAACCTCTGTGCTCCTCTGTACACCCCAAGCAATGTGTAGAACACACTGGAATGGATGCCCAACCCCACCCCATCCCCGGTACTCCATACCTCAGCCATGTTGCTGAGGACAATTGCCATGATGATGCCATAGATAGCCACAGCCTCACAGAAGATGATGCTGGAGGCAGCAGTGGTGGGCAAAGGCGGTTGAGAGGAGAAAGAGAAGAGAAAGCAATCAACCTTCCTCCTCACAGAGTCCCCAGTCACCTTTCCCCCACTGGCATCCCACCTCATCAGGAGGCTGGTCAGGAGCAGAATGTCAGGTCAAACCAATGGGCAGCTCCTAATGCAGCTGGTTCCGACAACCTTCCAAGGGCCCTAACTTACCTGACCAGGTTCTTGGTCTTGATCCGAGGGGCCTTCACCCCTCCCCCAATGATGGATGAGCCAGTGATATAGATGCCCCTGGTGGAAAGGTAAGAAACCAATGAGCAGAGGCCAAGCTTGTCAGTGTCCCCAGGATGACTAAGGACCCACCCACCACCTGCTATGACTCAGCCCCCATCCCCCAAATCACACCACCCAACACTCACCACGCTGCCCCAACCACAGACAGGGAGATAGCTAAGCCAATGCCCAGGTTTGACCACATGAAAGGGGAAGTCTCTGTCAAGAACCTGGTGTGGAGACAGGGAGGAAAGCAATTCAGTCTTGGAGGGGAAGTGAGCACAGAATTCACTCCAAGCCCACCAGTACTGGTTGCTAAAAGACCCCTTATCTCCGAAAGGTCCACATCCCAGGCAGCTGGGGGTGGGGTGGAGGAGGGGGGTCAACTTAGAGAAGGAAGGCTGCAGAGAAGCAGCTCCTGGGGGAATCCTCTCCCGGCCCTCCCTTACCATGCCACATCAAAGCGGAAGCCCAAGTCAAAAATGGTGTAGCAGATCCCTGCAGGAGTGAGAAAAAAGGGGGTTAGGGGCTGCTCTCTAGAGAGAAGCTCCCCAACTTCGACATGAAGCTCCTGCCCAGCTGATGGGACAGCTCAATGGACTGCCCACACCTAAGTCAAGCTGGTCCCCGCGCAAAAGCACGGCTGTCTTTCTACACAGATGCCTCTCTTCAGACCTCCATTTCCTGCCACTCCCTCAGTAACGTCGCGTTTGCCGACACCACCTCCCAGACGTAGGTCCTAGACCCTTCGGAGCAGCAGCTCGCAGGCCTGAATTCCCTGGAAGGAGGGAGGGAGCAAGGGCTCTGGCCAAGCTCCACTGGATCCCGCCGGCCCAGTCCGCGATGCTGTTTCCCCAACAAGCTGGGAGTGGGGGTTGGGGTGGCTAAACGACCAGAGAAGGAGGAACTGGAGCAGCCTGCTCATGACCCTAGAAGGCTGGTCAGGAGCAACAGAGGGGCGACAGCCGCGAGACGGGGCAGGGGGGCGGGGACGACAGAACGCGACCGGGGCTGCTTTCGCGGCCCCCACGTACCCCCGCCCGCGCCCCTCCTCAAGCAGCTGGAGATCGGGTCTCCTCTGTCGGGGTCAGAGGCCCCCGCGGGCGGGCGGCAACTCCCGGAGCCCGGGGTACACAGCCCGCGCTGCAGCCCAGCGGCCCCGGGGCCCCACGACCCCCGCCGGGCTCCAGACCTGCCCGCTCGGCCCGGATGCCGGCCCCGCCCGCCAGGGCCCGGCCTCACCCACGCCGATCATGCAGGCCCAGAAGGCCACGAAGACCCCGGCGTAGAGGAGAGCTAGCCCCGTCATGGCGGCGGTGACAGCGGGGCACGGGTCGGTGGAGACAGAGCTGAAACCGCGACCCTGCGTCCACCGTCCGCCCCGCAGTCAGTCCGCCACCCGCACCGTCACCTGACTCGCCCACGTGACACGCCGGCACCACCTGACCCGGACCGGGCTCTGCGCCGGGGCGGGTCTAACACTCGCCACGCCGGAACTGAGGCGCTGAGCATTGTGGGTGATGTAGTCTTACGCTGCAGAGACGGCTCTGGCGCCCTTCTTACCAGGTGTGTCCACCTGGCTGGTCTCTCGCGCCTCTCCAAGGCCGATTCTTCTCAGCCCTGCCTCACACCGAGCCTGCTCGTGGGCCTCCCTAGCTTAGCCTCCAACCCAGTGCGGACCCCTGTTCCGCTGGGTGTTGTGCTCTGTTCCTCAAGCTCTTTCCTCTGCCTGCAGCATGCACCCTAGTGCTTACCCTAAGCCTGGCTAACAGCTACTGAGCCTCAGAAATCCTTCTTCCCCAGCCTTCCCTAACCCTGAGGCATGGTGGCTCGCCTGCCTAAGAAACTTCAGCAAGATCATGTCACTCTCTTTAAAATGCCCTAGAGGCTCAATTTCACTCTAAAAGCCATAGTCCTTTTAATGGCTTACTAGGCCTCTATCAGTGTGGTTCCGAACTTCATTTCTGCTATGCCCCCACCAACTCCTCTGGCTGCACTGGCATCCTTGCTATCGATGGAACATACCAGCCATACCCTCACCGCATTGGCCTTGCACTTGCTCTAGGCTTCTAATTACCCATGTAACTCACTCCGTAAAACTTCCTTTTGTCTTTGACTTTCTTCAGAAGGCCTTCTCTGACCATCTGTTTAATATTGTAACCCCCTGTCCCTACACTCCCTCCCAGTTTTATATTTCTCCATAACACTTACCACCATTTGTCATACTGAGTGTTTTGGTTATCCATCTCTCCCCACTCATGAGAAGGTAAGCATCATGAAAGGATTTCTGTTGCTTTCACTGTTGTATTTCCAGTGCTTGGTACTCAGTGGGTGCTCAATACATGTTTGTAATTGGCAGTTACAAAATAGTCAATGGGGTGTAAAGTACAGCATAGGCGCTGAAACTGGTTTGGCTCAGTGGACAGAATGTCACCTGTGGACTCAAGGGTCTCAGGTTCAATTCCAGTCAAGGGTATGTACCTTGGTTGCAGGCAGGTCCCCAGTAAGGGGTGTGCAGGAGGTGGCTGATTGATGTTTCTCTCTCATCGATGTTTCTGACTTTCTATCTCCCTTCCTCTCTGTGAAAAATCAAAATATATATATATATATTTTTTAAAATACAGCAAATATAGTCAATAACCCTATATAATAGAGGTAATATGCAAATTAACCCTCACTCCCTCACAAAATGGCTGCCTACCACCAGGTTGGCAGGCAGGTGAGGGAGGACCAAACCACTGAACAAGCAGGCTGCATGGGGTGACCAGGATGGCAGGGGTGCTGTAAGGGGTAACCAGGCCGGCAAGGGGCAGTTAGGAGCAACCTGGCCGACACACAGAGGCAGTGAGGGGAAATCAGGCAGGTGGGGGGTGGGAGGGACAGTGAGGAGCGACCAGGCTGGCAGGGGGGGCAGTTAGGGGCGATCAGGCCGGCACGAGGGGCAGTTAGGGGTGACCAGGCAGGTGAATGATTAGGAGCCAGCAGTCCAGGATTGTGAGAGGGATGTCCAACTGCCAGTGTGGGGGTGGGCTTCCCTTCTGAGAACTGTTCCAGTGTGTGGAGATTGCCTATTTAACCACTCCCTTCCCGGTTACACGGTGAAGACAGAAATTCAAAGATAATTCAGGTCTCCACCCACAGGACCTGCAGTGTTTTACAAGTTAAAAACAAACAAACAAACAAAAAAAGAGAAAACATATCTGATTTATTCATTTCTGTAATCTCCCTGAGAAACAAATCAGTCAGTATAGACCAGCACTGTCCAACAAACTTTCCGAGTTGATGGAAATGTCCTATAGCCACGCTGTCCTCTTACATGACTACGTTAGCAGTGAAGTGTGGCTAGTGTGACCAGGAAACTGACTTTTTAATCTTAAATTATGTTTAAAATAGCTGGTATACTGGACAGTACAAGCATAGACCAGTGGTTCTCACCCGGGGACAATATTGCTTCCAGAGGGGACATTTGCCAATGTCTGGAGCTATTTTTTATTATCACAATCAGAAAGTGTATGCTTCTGGCATCTAGTGAGCTGAAATCAGGGAAGCTGCTGAACTTGCTACAATGCAGAGTAGCCATTCACAATAAAGAATTATCTGGCCCAAATCATCAGTTGTGCAGAGGCTGAGAAACCCTGGTCTAAACCAGTGGTTGGCAAATTCATTAGTCAACAGAGCCAAATATCAACAGTACGACGATTGAAATTTCTTTTGAGAGCCAGATTTTTTAAACTTAAAACTTCTTCTAAGGCCACTTCTTCAAAATAGACTCGCCAGGCCGTGGTCTTTTGTGGAAGAGCCACACTCAAGGGGCCAAAGAGCCACATCAGGAGCTGGCTCATGAGCAGCAGTTTGCTGACCACTGGTCTAGACCATCTATAACCTGCCTTTGAAAAGGACAGACCCTCAACTGCACACCAGGAACTGGGATTGGCCAGAGGCCCTGGCTGCTCCCAGATCAGATGGGCCTGGGCGGCTTCAGGAATGCTCCAAATCAGTCCCCGTCAATCAAACATCAAACATTTCACTAAGCCAGAACATGCTAAGCCTATGCCAGTGTCAGTACAAGATAAAGCTGTATCCTGTTCTTAGTGAGGGGCTGCCTGCCCTCCCTCCACCCAGGCTCCTTCAAGGATCCTGGCAGAGGGGTGAGCACTAAAAGTTTGTTTGTTTGTTTGTTTGAAACAGATCCTGCCTCAGGTTTATTTGTATAAACAACATAGAAGGACACTAGTTCCATGCAGATAGCAGTCAAGGGTCACACCAGTCCTTCTCTCCTCACAGCAGTAGAGGCCTCTCCTGTGGAGCCTTTAAGGGGGTCTGGGCCCCTTTGGGAGCCTGGCCTGAGTTGCAGCCTGAGGCTTGGTTTAAGTGTTGCCTTGGCCTTTGGCCAGCAGTACCCGAGACCCTTAGTGATGGGGACACAGCACATTTCCCAAGTTTAGGGTGAATGATGTAGACAAGTTGACTGAGCTTGCAGCTGCCACCCTTGGGGATCTCAGGCCTGACCTCCGTGGGCTTTATGACGGCCTTGATAGCCTTGGCACATGTGCTCATGGCCTTAGTGTTGATGACGTGCCTCTTCTTCTTGTGCTTTTTGGCGAAGTGTATGTTTCTCAGGAACTTTGGATCTAGTTCCTTCTTGATGCCATTTCTGTGCCATTTTCGGAACCGGTTGTGCATGGTGTGGTTCCTGGATGTGGCCACATGTGCACTGAAGCCCGCAGCAGCTGGGACCGGAATAGTGTCCCTTAGGTCCACCTGTGTCTCCGGCTCCCCAGGGCGTCAGCTGCTCCCCTCATCCTCATAGGCGATGGCAATTCCCCGTCTCCCGCTCACGACTCCTGTCACCGGTGTCTGACCCAGGTGAGGCTGCAGCCCTTGCCAGCTCCGGGAACTAAGGAACGAGGCTGCAAAGAGAGGGGGCTGAAGCTGAGTGGGCAGAATCCAGGAGAATCCCGATGGGAGTGGAGACTTGGCACACTTACCTGCAGGGCTACTCTCAACCAGCTCCAGCTGAGGCCGCGGGGTCAGGGCTGAGCATCCAGGGTCATTGGATGGCTTCCAGGCAGGCAGGGGTCGAAGCTCCCCCGTAATGAGTGACACATCTGGGATGTCCCACAGTTCCGATTCGGGCGGTGGGAGGGGCACGTGGAAGGGGGAGCCTGGGAGGGAGAAAGATGATCCATCCTGGCCCCCTGCTCCCATGCCCCAACTGTTTCCAGCTCAGGCAGCGCCCCGCCACTCACCGGGCAGTAAGTCGGCGTAGTGCGTGAGGTGGGGAGCCAGGCCTGGAGAGGGCCAGGCAGGGTTGCAGGCAGCCTCCAGCTCACATGGTGACAATACAGGCCGGAAGAAGCTACCAGAAGGCTGGGGAGCTAGGACACCAAGAGGACAGGCCAACAGCACAAAGACATCTATCTCAGGGAAGTTAGCGAGTTTGGGAGGCGTGGGCCGCCCCAGAGCTAGCACATAGCTATGCTTGCCGGAGGCCCGCGTCAGGCTCCGCAAGTGTGCCAGCGCCTCCCGGTGTCGGGCCACGCCCAAGGTGCCCGCTAGCAGCCCCACCACGCGGGCATCTCTGGCCCTCTCTACCAGATATTGCCTCCGTGCCCTCAGCCGCCCGGCCCGGGCGCCTTCATCACGAGTCCCCCCTGTGTCTGGGCAGCAGGAGGAGAAGGAGCGCTCAGGTGCCCAGCCCAAGAGCAGCCGGCCCAGGTCAGGATCGAGGTCAGGGTCGGAGGTGGCCCCAGAGCCTCCCACATAGAAAGCATCGTACTCGTCCAGACACCTTCCCGGGGCCAGGGGGAAGCGACGTCCGAAACGCTCCAGGGGTTCAGGCTCTGAACTAAGGGAGCCCACGGGCAGGGGAAGAGCTGGGCTGGAGACAAGCAGGTCCACGTACCGTGGGCGAAGGAGAGTGGCCAGGGCCTCTGGAAGAAGGAAGCGGTGTCAGGGTTGGGGCCTGGCAAAGCAGCAGCTCCCCTGTTCCCCAGAAGACGGAGTGTGACCCCAAAGCAAAGGCTCGGGTCAAGCCCACACTGAGAACTCTCTGGGATGTACTGACACGGGAACATGAGGAACAAAACAGCTGACCCTCTTCTCCCCGCACGCCCAGGCAAAAGCCCTTACCCAGCGCATGGGCACAGGCCGGCTCACTCAGCAGCACCACAGGGGCTGTGGGGTCGGGATTCTGGGCCTCGAAGGCTTTGGCGCAGAGCTCCAAGGCCACAGGACGCTGACCAAAGACGAAGGCCACCGGCAGTGGGCGGGCCGGAGGGCTCAAGCAGGCAGGGCCGAAGTGTACAAGGGCCTGCGCTCCAGCTTGCTCAGCACCCAGCACGTCCACACAGCAGCTGCAGGGGAGACACCGTTAGTGAGAAAGGTTTCATCAGAAAGCTCCTGTCTTCAATGGGAAATGTGGTCAGAGAAGAAGATGATGTTATAGAAACACAGTCATTGAGAGGAGCTGGGGTCAGGACGGCAGTCATCAAGCAGCGTCAGAGAGAACAGCCATTAGGGGCAGGCACTATCACAGCGGGAAAACACGGCAAAAAACCCTGGGTCCCTAGGCCTCCGTCCTTAAGCCCAACTTCACACCTGCCATAGGCTGTGTCCCCCAGAATGAACATTTTCGACCCTGTGGACTCCTCCAGTCGTGCAGCCACAACCCCAGCATCTCCCAATAGTTGGTCAGGGAACTGCAAGGCCACCTGGAAGCATGAATCATGGGGTCAGAAACGGCCTCTCCTTCACCGAGGGTCGTCTCTGCAAGGAAAACCTCCAGGGAGCCCCTACCCAACCAACCTTCACAGCCTCTCGTCCCAGGGAAGACCTCCCTTCACCCCCCACCCGCACAAAATTACCCTGAGACCCCGATCCTATGGGCGACCCATCCCGGAGAGGGGAGCCACTCCTCCCAAACCTGCCCTCACCCGCTGACATGCCAGGTCACGGACAAACGCGACGACTCGCTGCAGCTCGTACACTCGGTCCAGGTCCGCCAGCGGCGTGAGCAGCCCCGCGGCCCCCGCCTCCCGCTCCAGCGCCGCCTCCGCGGGGCTGCTGAATGTACACGCCATGAGGCACAGCTCAGCTGACGGGAAGCAGCGGGGACCCCTCGGACTCCGCGTTCTCAAAAGGGCCCCTAATGGATGACAGTCCTCGGACGAGGGCGGGGAGCTTAGGACTCAGACCGCCAGCAGTGAACGGCGAGCCGCGCATCCAAAACTCGCGTTTCCTTGCCTCACGTGAGCCAACCGAGGACTACTTCCGGGTTTTGAGGCGGGGCTGATGGCAATTTTACCAATCTCAAACCAGCGCAGCTCCGGCTTCCCAATCCTCGCCTACCAAACCGCCCATCGGCCTCAGAGCACGAGGCCAACAGTAAGTACTTCCGGGGGAGATGCGGAGCCTTGTGGGTATTGTAGTTCCTCTAGCTCTCCTCTCTAGGCGCTGGGAGTTTACAGGTTCAGCTCACTGCCTACTCTCCAAAAACACCCACTCCCTGATAATTACTCCAATTTGAGCAACTCAAACTTCTCCATGGCTGTTTCCTAATCTGTAGAATGGGGCTTGTAGCAATAGTACTCCTAATAGGATTGTTGGGTCAAAACAATTTAGAAATAAAAGTAGTCCTTGGCATATCACATGTACTGAAAGCATTGCTATTATCCGCAGTTGGTCAAGCAGGGAAACATTAAGTATTACTGTTCACCAGGCCCTGTACATCCTCAGAGTTTACAGTCTTTAGAGTAAGACTTGTACCATTTTACAGGTCAGGAGGCTGAGATTCAAAGAAGCTAACTACTTGTCTAATTAGACACAGCAAGTCAGTGGCACACTATATCAAACCTTAGTCTGATTTTAGAAGCTGGGTTTTTGAGTTCTCTTTCTCCAAGCTCCTGTGCTACACTGAACATGGGGGAGCAGCAGAAAAAAAGGAAGCACTGGATAGCATGTAGTAGGAGAAGAGAACTGAGAAATCAAGAGTGAGGTGAGACTCGAGCAGGGGCAGGGGACAGTGGCCTCAGGAGATGGCACATGAAAGGCTGGCATGGGAAGAGATTGATTGAGGATGAAGAATGGACACAGAATTTGTGCAAAAGTTGGGGGGGAAAAAAACAGGGGAAGAAATATAAAAGTAATCAGTTCTATCACCTCTGAGACTCAGACTCACAACAGGATGGGGAGAAGCCAGCCAGGCCTATTCTCAGATCTTACTGTGTCTGAGAAGACAGAAAGGAAAGAAACCTGCAAAGGGAGAGCAAGGGTCAGGAGCTGTCCCTGGTCCTGACCAAGCTCTGACCATCACATTGGGGATTTAGGAGTATACAGACATTAGGTCCGGCCTTCCTCTTCCTCTGGGGTCTGCAATGCCTCCTCACCAACCATGTAAAAGTTTGGGTGTCTCCACAACCCCACCCCAGAAACCCATCCTGAAACGCAAAGCCACGCTCCAATTATTTCCTCCCAATTGGACCCAGCCTAAGTCCTATACCTCAGAAGCCTCCCATTTATATCAGAAATAAAACTTCCTGCCCAGGCTGAGTGGTTAAGCATCAATCTATGAACTAGGGAGGTTACAGTCAGGGCACATTCCTGGGTTGCAGGCTCAATCCCCAGTGGGGGGGCATGCAGGAGGCAGCTGATCAATGATTCACTCTGATCACTCTCTCTCCCTCTCCCTTCCTTTCTGAAATCAATAAAAAAAAAATTTTTTTTTTAAAGAAATAGCCCAACTGGCATGGCTTAGTGGTTGATCATTGACCCATGAAACAAGAGATTACGGTTCAATTTCCTGGTCAGGGCACAAGCTTGGGTTGAGGGCTTGATCCCCAGGAGGCGTGCAGGAAGCAGCTGATCAATAATCGGTGATGTTTCTCTCTTATTGATGTTTCTATCTCTCCCTCTCCTTTCCTTTCTCTAAAAATCAATAAAAACATTTAAAAATAAAATAAAGTAAAACTTCCTCCATGCAAACTTCATAGTCCCATTCTCCCAGCTTAGCATGGTAAGTATGGACTAGATCAGCCTTTTAGACAGAACAAGGCAGAACTAGGGACTCAGTACTCAACACTGTTGATTAAATAAATGTCTGCATTCATGAACGTGGAACTAACTTAAAGGGGAGGGAGTTCTGATACTACTGCAATCCCCATCCCACCCCAAGAGCAATGGCAATATTCTGAGTGGCTCCAGCAGTATCTCTTCCACCCCAGGAGCTACACGTTGGCTCTACCACTCCCTATCAAGGCCCGGATCCAGGAATCCTCCCGTCCTTAGCCCAGGCCTCTGGGTCATCCAGCTAGGTGGTGATGGCAGAAGAAAGGAAGCAGAGACAACTGTGCAGTGGGGGTCCAGGTTTACTCTTTGGGGACAGGGAGGAGTGAGGAGTGGGTGGGACGGGAATGCCCCTCAGTAGTCGGCTGTGTAATCTGTGCCATGTAGTCCCCTGCACAACAGTGTGAACTCCTTCACCATCTCCTTTACCCGCCTCTTGTTCACTCGCTCGCTGAAGGAGAGAAGGGAGACCAGGTTAGCACCATCCACCACTGCTTCATCTTCTCTTCCAGACCTGAGCCCAGGCCCCACCAGCGCCGCTCACCGAAGGATCTGCTGGCTGAAGGTGTCCTTCTGTTCCGGGCTGAGGCGGGCAGAGGGAAAGCCAGGTGGCTGCAGTGCTTCCTTGATCCACATGCTCAGGAGGCTGAAGCAGTGTTTGTTCAGGGCAAATAGGATGTCGGCAAAACAGTCCATGAGGCTGCGGGAGGCCTGGCCCCCGATGGCCTGAGGAAGACAGGTTCTCAGTACACCAGGGCCTTGTCCCTTCCGCAGCAAAGCTGTTGAGCCTTGCCCCACCTCCCCTCGGACCATTCCTCTGCCAAACTGCATATGACAAGTGAGTGCTGCTTTTTGAGAGCCAACTCTGACAGCTTTCAGACATTTAAATGAGGAAAAAACAGGATCAGAGAGTTTAGGAAACCAAAGGCTCAAGAACCCCCAAAGGGCAGCTGCCACAGAAACAAGGGCCACCGTGCCCACATAAGCGCCCCCCTGCTCCATCTCACCTCCAGCACTGCTATGAGCAGCATACGGCCATCCTCCTGTACTACCTTTCCCACGGGTACTACTTCCCCACATCGAGGCAGGAGCTCTGTCTGCAGAGGATAAAGAGGCCTGTCAGCCCAGCTCCTACCCCCTCATCCTGGAGATAAGACCCATATACCACACCCCTACCCTCTGAGTCCTAATAGTGGTGGTGGTGGTGGGGGGTCTGGGGCAGCATGGGACTCACAAAGAAGCCACAGGAGGCCTTGACAGTAGGTGCCTCAGGGAACTTGAGGGCCAGCACAGCTGTGGGAGAGGCAGAAGCAGATCAGACAGAGCCTAAGGATCCTCCCAAGGGGGCCCCAGGCCCACTTGTCCAAACTGCCCCACTTACCACACTGGAACACAGCTTTGACATCCAACCGTTCACACAGGAACAAATCTGGCTTCCGCTTCAGAGCCTGCAGGAGGTGGAGCTGGTAAGCCCAGCCCCAGCCAGCTGCAAACACCATTCCTGCCCCCCCCCCCACTCACCTGCCACCCCAGGGCCCAACTTCACGCACCACAGGTAGAGGGTGTCAAAACCAACTACCCAGCCATCTCTGGGGACACAGACCATCCCAGAGTGCCAGAGGCCAGGAGAGAAGCAGCCAAGGAATGCTGTGTACATGAATGCACAGTGCATGAGAGAGGTTGGGGGGTCATAAGGCAGATAGCTTGAGTCCCAAGTTACTCTCTGAGAAAATGCCTTCCCCTCCCCCCAAACCAGGGACGGATTCCTGCAGGCTCAAGTACCAGCAGTGATCTCTCTTGATTCATAGAGCCAGTTTAGGCCCCCTCTATTTATTAACAAAGCCTCAGGAAGAAGAGATGGCAACTGGACATGAAACACAGTCCAACAGCCGCCCCCCATGTCCTGTCACTCCGCAGACACCCTTCAGATCAGAAAGAGGGAAAACAGGGTAGGTGCCTTGGAGCCATGGCCCTACCTTTCACCCACGATACCCTCTGTGCAGGGCCTTCACGGCCATACCCAGCCCAGGAGCCGTGTTGCCATGTGGGGGAATGGAAGGAGTACAGGGGGCAGAGAGCCAACCCCAAGTGGTACCAGGACATGCCTGGCACATCCTCAGGTCACAGGAGATGCTCTGCACAGCTCCCGCAGTCATCCAATGCTGCTGTTCCCCAGCAGCCTCCCAAGGCACAACACACAGACCCCTACCTCTCCAGCCCCTCACAGACCTTCCAGTCTGCCATGTTCACTCACACGCACCCTCATGGAGACACCCTATTTACCCTCAAACACACTTCCCTTACACACACACACACACACACACACACACACACACACACACACACAGTCTCTCTCTCTCTCTCGCTCTCTCTCTCTCGCTCTCTTTTCTCTCTCCTCCACACACATTTGCAATGCACCCGCACTACACATTCACACACTCAAACCGCCACATCCCCAAACCAGCTCCACACCCACACCCTCAATCTACCAATCTTCCAGCACGTGTACTCTCTCAACACATCATCCACAAATGCATAGTCAAATACCCTCACCCACAAAGGTACACCCTCACAGATACCCATACATCTATCCGTCCAGGCCCAGAACACTCCCTATTCCCCAGGCCTTTTACCCTGCCCCCCACCCCCACCAAACAAACTGTAAGTTACAAGAGAGTCAGAATCGTGCCCGCTTTTGTGCACCATTATACCCCCAGCACCTAGCAGATTATCAAGCATGTATTAACAATAAATATTTGTGGAATGATTAATAAATCCCCCCACATTATTTACCTTTACCCACAGAACTCCCCCCCAACCTGCAGAAGCCCCCTAACTCACAGAACTCCTATATACTAACCTCACGTTCCCACAGCCCAACATATATCTTTTCCAAAACACACATACCTTAATACAGACCTGCCACAATATATATATATATATATATATATATATATATACCTATCCTCCACAACACATTCCCACAGCCCAACTCGCACATGCCTCCAACACATATCAACATTCAAAATCCACCAATGCCTAACACACATCAACGTAAACACACACCAATGCACATATCCACATATCAACTACAAATCCAACATAATACGCATACTACTTACAGCAGTTACATGATTTCTGTTCTTACCAAACCAAACTCAAAACACACAAAGTAAGTCCCGACACACTTAACACACACACACAACCTAACACAGTCTCACAGTGGAGCCAGCACCCCACCTCCCAGCAGCAGCACAACCTGTCCAGCAGCCCGCTCTGAGCTCCAGGCTTCGGGCTCCACGGAAGCATATTCATCTCAGCCCCACCCTTCGAGCCTATCTCTCAAGAGCAGGCTGGAGGCACTGAGGCAGGCAGTTCCCGGCAGGAGCACGGGGACAATGAACCCCAGGCCCTAGAACTTCAGTTCTACCCCTGAACTTCTTGGGCACCCCAGCCGCCCAGGAGCTGTGGGGCACAGTTACCGCCCCCCTCCCTTCCCGACCCCCACCAGGCCAGCCCGCTGCCTCCCTCTGGGACCAGCCTCTCCCTGGTCTTTGTAGAAGATTGAGCTAGCTGAGGCAAAGGGGCACTAAAGGAGGATGTTGGGTTGTCAACTTCCACGGAAACAGATGAAGAAACTCTATTCAACTGAACAGAAAAAAAATTCGTCAACAGAAAGCTAAAAATAGGCTTAAATTGAATTTCAACATAAGAGAAAGAGAAAGAGAGAGAACAGAACGTGAATGAATAAAACTAAAACACACCTGTGCCAGGAGTTGCATAAATGAATCAACAATATCAGGATGATTCCTGGGCCCTAAAATATAATAAAGATGGAACTTAAGAAAAAATTATACAAACAGCAACTCAACCTCATATAGTTATGTGGGACTGAGAGCCTGCAGGGAGACAGCGTGGGGGCACATGAGCAGCAGGAAGCAAGATAAAGAAACAAAACATACAAAAACCATGAACTGGGAGAAGCCCAACAGAAAGAGACGGCAAAGTGAAGGACGGGCCTGCCCCAGTTCCCTCCCAAGGGGCCTTCCACCTACTCCCCGCTCCTCCTAGGTCAGTCCCCCAAGTTGTCCTGTGGTGCTTGAGCAATGCTGGACTCCACATAGCTGAAGAAACACCCCTGGATTTCTTGCTTCGGCCTCAGCAGTTTGGGATGGCCCTAAGCTGCTTCCCCATCACTAGCCATCGAACAGGAGGGCAGAGCTGGTTGTGCTTGGTACCTCCTTTGGAGGCCTGGCTGCAGGCCCTGAAATAGCCAGGGAACAGAACCCGAGCAGGTGTCCCTCACTTGGATGGCCAAGGAAAGGAACCTACTGGGTCCACTTAACCAGAGGACTCCTTCTTGGGGAGGGCAGTGCCCAATATGCAGTGGGGATGGCCAGGCAACCCATTGGCAGGGCCTAGGGAAGGAAACTGCCTCCTGAGGCCAAAAATGAAAGTCCCACCCAGCAAAGTCCCTCCACATGGACAAAGACTCAGCAGAGAGCCACGCTCAGGGCTGAGGACCAGCTCCCACCATCAGCCCACATGAAGGAGGAGGGAAGCCAGTTAATGTGTTGCCCCATGGTGCAGTGGAGGGCAAAACTGGGACAGCATACAGGTGAGGGGACCATCCTGTCCAGCGAGACAACCAATAAGCCCAACAAATAGGATGCTGGACACTATTCTGCCTCCAGTTCTGATACCTGTGGCAAGGACAAGGCCTGCGCCTGGAGCTCCTGCCTGGGCCACTCCACTCTCAGCTGCAGACACTGCAGGAACACCTGCCCGAGACACCACTAAGGAGCTGTGTGATCTTGCGCAAGCCACAAGCACTTGGTTTCCCCAGTTTAAAGCAGATAATAATCTCTTCCTTGTTTCCTTCTCCAGGCCACTGATGAAGCCCGCCCCCTTCACATCTGAATCCTGAGTTACTCAATCCTGGGAAGTGAGGCCTGATGTGCACTATGCGTGGGTCACGCTGCAGACAACAGGTGTGATATTTAACAGTCGCCCTGCAGGAAGTGGGCCAGTCAGTGAAGGAGAAAGATTCTGAGGGCAAGGAGCCCTCAGCCTCCTTTTTTAACAGTGTCTGGTACCTGCTCCATGCTGGCCTCATTCTGGACACTGGGGATACAGAGAGAAGAGACCTATCCTTGTCTTTCAGAGGCTTAGTCCAGGGAGAGGGAGAGGGACAGATGTGAAGGCTGATTATTGAGTGTAATTGGAGCTGTATCGACAGTGTATACATGATGTGGTTTCAACAGGAAGTTTGATTCAGAGAAACTTCTGAGGAATGATGCATGGGTAAGGTGTGAAGGAACGAGAGCTCACCCAGTAAAGGTCCTGAAAGGGAGCCAGGCTCAGGGATCAAATGGGACACGATAAGGGAAGAGTCAGTGTGGCTGGGTGGCTGGAGTCATGGGGACACTGAAAGGAGAGGATGTTGAGAGGTATGCAGGCACTATTCCAAGTGGGTAGCAATGGGATGAGGGCAATGGGGAGCAATGAAAGGGTTTTAAACCAGGGAGGGAAAATGCTAAGGTTTGTGTTTTATAAAGAACATTAAAGCTGCAGGGTGCAGAATGAATTGGAGAGAAGGGCAGATGCCCGGAAAACAAGTCAGAAAATTGTTGAAGTAATCCGGAGACTTTGGACATGGAGGGTGGGGAGCAGGGGACAGACTGTGGGATAATCAGGAAGCAGGACCACCAAGACTTGTCTCCAACTAGTCAGGAGAAATAGAGTTGAGGATACCCATATCTGGCCTTCTGGCTCAGCTATCTCCCCACCGGAGTAGAGGCTAGTGTCATGTAACCAGACACCGAGGACACAAGCAGAGAGCACTCTGGCTGCAACTGAGACCTTTGGTGAGTCTCAATCCTGCAACCACGAGTCTAGGCAAGATTCATGAGGCTGGTGGAAAGTAGTGAAGCCCGGAGTTCCCTTTTGCCAGTTCTCTCAGACTAAGGGCCAGTGAATGGGGATAGGGGGTGGGACCACAGCCATAGGCTTTTGGCCTGGAAGGGAATAAAATTCGTGTGAAAAAAAACCCTAGCCAAGGGCCCAAAAGATGCTACATAATGCCTATAACAATCCTATCAAATATAAGAAATGGCCATTTCACAGATATGGAAACAAAGGCTCTGTAAAGGTAAGTGACTTGCCCAAGGTCACACAACTAGTTGGTGGTGATGAGCTTAGAATCTAGGTATGTCTGATTTCAAAGCCCTTGTTCTTTCTACTTTTCATTAAATCCCAAAGAAAAGGAGCCAGCCTGGTACCCAAGCCCCTCAGAGCTTCTGTCCCCATCTTTCCCATCATCCAGACTGGCCCTGAGCCAAGCAGGCCAGTAGAAGACATCATTCACTCTCTTCTCCACTTCAATCTAAGGTGTCAACTATTTGTAAGGTTGACAATTATGCTGTGCTTGATCCTCTAAGTTTCCCATCAAGTCCCATGTGCAGCTCAGGGGACAGAGGAGAACGTAGTGGGCAGCTTTGGCTCCCCAGTCAGGGAAGCAGAGGCAGTGGCAGCGGCGGCAGCAGCAGAGACCTGGTCAGGACCTACCTTGCTGGAAGAGAGTGAGTGTGACGGAGGTGACGAGCAGGAAGAGGGCCTCGATTGGGGGAAAGTGGGCAGGCTCGTGGGCAAAGATGTGGACCAGCTACAAAAAAGCAGAGAATGCTGGTCAGCCGAGGCCCTGCGTCACCAGCATAGGCTAGCATCCTTGGAATGCAGGTGAGGACCTCTGGCAGGGAAACCATCAACCCACTCCACCCACCTACCCCATCCTGGTCAGACAGATCTCTAATTAGGATGGAATCCAGAAGACTGTTGTCCCAATCAGAAGGCCCACCTGTCGAGTGAGGTCAAGAGCTGAGGCCTGGGGGATGGTGCTGTACATCCGACCCAGCATCTCACACAGCTGTGGCACCATGGGGGCAAAGTCATCCAACAGCGTCTTAACAGACTTCTCGAAAATGGCGCACACCGCCTGGGGAGGAAGCAAAGGGGCCCATGAAAGAGAAAAAATATATATATTGTATTATAATCACCAAATTTGCTAAAACACTAGATCTTAATTATTCTAACCACTAAAAAGAAATGCTGATTATGCGACATGATAGAGGAGCTGATTATGGCTATAATGGCAATTTTATCATGTTATAATATAGAAATGTATCAAATTAACATGTTGTAGATCTTAAATGTACACACTGTTATATGCCAAATATATTTCAATTGACAAAGAAAAAAGAAAAAGAAAAGGGGCCCTGGTCAGCAAGTCACAAGAGGCTGGAACAGAATGGAGGCCTGGCACAGAGGAGGCCTACGAAGGGGCCCTTACCTATAAGCCTTGCCTGGCTCTGCGAACCAAGGAAGGTAAAGAAGTCTCACCCTGACCCTGAAAGGCAGGAGGCAAAAAGGCCCTTTTCAGAGGGGCACAGATGGAACCTTGTAACTCTTCCTACTTACATCTCCACTATTTCCTCTCAGGGAGCAGCATCAGCAACAGAATCCTGAATTACAAAGAGACCAAAGGCAGGTCTCCGATGCGAAAGTGGGTCCCTGGCTGTCACTCAACCACATCATAGACCTTCGGTTGAGCATTTCTTGTGATACTGGGGCGCTCTGAATGCTTTCCCAAAAGATTCCTTATATCTATGGAAAAGGATTTGCCTCCTTTATTTCCTCAAAACCATCGCAAGCTTAAGCGGGGCAGCAATACCTTCCTCCTGCTCCACCTCTGAGAAAAGTCACCACGGGGCAGAGAGCAAGGGGTGGGACTCACCTCCACCACCTGGGCATCATTCAGCCATTTGCTCAGCACCTTCTGGATAAGCTGGAAGACCTGCTGCAGCACCACTACCACCTGGAGACACAGGAAGAAGATGCCCCACAACCACTGTCACCCACTGGAGAAGGACCTGGTAGCAGGAAGCAGGCCAGGAGTTCAAATCTAAACCTATCACCCCAGACTGTGTAATGAAGACTCAATGAATGGGACTCTGGCAGGAGGAGTGTTTGCTCAATGCCCTATGAATGAAAGAGGATATTTGAGTTCTAGGGATCCTCTTAGAAGAAGCCTCAAATTGCAAAGCAGGGATAGTATGAGTGCTCATAAGATTACTAAATTGTGAGGGGAACCGGGTGGGTGGAGGTGAGGAAGGTATACAGGGGATAAATGGCGGTGGGATAAAAAAAAAAAAAATTTACTAAAACTTTGCAACTTCCGCCCTAGCTGGTTTGGCTTAGTGGTTAGAGTGTCAGCCTGCAGACTCAAGGGTCCCAGGTTCGATTCCAGTCAAGGGAATGTACTTTGGTTACGGGCACATTCCCAGTAGGGGGTGTGCAGGAGGCAGCTGATCGATGTTTCTCTCTCATCCCTTCCTCTCTGTAAAAAAAATCAACAAAATATATTTTTTTAAAAAAACACAACAGAGCCAAAACCGGTTTGGCTCAGTGGATAGAGAGCATCGGTCTGCGGACTGGAAGGTCCCAGGTTCGATTCCGGTCAAGGGCATGTACCTTGGTTGCGGGCACATCCCCAGTACGGGGGTGTGCAAGAGGCAGCTGATCGATGTTTCTCTCTCATCGATGTTTCTGACTCTCTGTCCCTCTCTCTTCCTCTCTGTAAAAAATCAATAAAATATATTAAAAAAAAACAAAAACAAAAAAAAAACACAACAGAACTTTGCAACTTCCTTCTCTATTTCTGCTTAGTAAAACTCTTAGTGCCAAAAGCCTATAGGCTGGCTCCAGGTAGGCTTAGAGTAGACAGCCCAAGCGACACATAATACGGACAGCTTCTGCAGGAGCAGAGAGCAGAATGAGGTCCTGGGAGGTGAGGGAAGGCAGGATGACAACTGCCATAGGTGGGGCTCTGTGGCAGAGATTTAGTCTGGAGCCAAAGGGTAACTGAAACTAGGGTGGGGAGTTGAGCTGAGAGGCCAGGACACTGTGGCTTCCTACTCTTCAGGAGAAACACCAAAGGATGTACTGGGAACAATGACCAAAGCAGTCCCTCACATTTGTACAAAACTTCACAGTATGCAGAGTACTTTCACTCAAAAGCACATCTGCTATCCAACAATTCTATGAGATGAGCAAGCCAATGTTCTGATGTTCACAGTTTTGAGTGGGAAGCTGAGGCTTGCCCCAGATCAAATAGCTTATAAGTGGTCACCCAACACCCTGTGCCTACCCGAGCTTACCACAGCACTTATCACACTGCTTTGTGACAATCTGTTTACATGTATTTCCTCTAGATTGGGAGCAACTTGAAGGTAAAAACTATTACTTGCAGAGCATGTACCGTAAGCATCCTTGATGCCCACAGGGAACAAAGAATGCTGAAGTAATAAGGCCCCGGAATTAGGGGTTAAAGAAGGGCCCATAATTACATCACTTAGGGGTTGAAATATAATGTCAGTGTCCCTTATGGGGGGGGGGGGGCGGACCACAATGACATCATCCTAGTTGGGCTGGGGATAAAGACACCACCCTCAGGGTGAGATAATGACATCACTCCCCGGAGAGTGGAGGGCAATGATAAGATCATTCACAGGATCAAATGCATCATGCCACAGGGAACAATGACAATATTACCCATAGAACTGGAGGTGACAATGACTTTCCCACAGGGTTGGGAGGTGGGGACAATGGCAATGACAACATCACCCACGGGGTTGGGTCCCTGTGGTACTGGCAGCTTCCGGAGCTCAGAGCCTTCATGATCATCCTCATGATGACTGACATCCAGCGTGGTGAAGAGGTTGGAGAGAAGCCCCAAGATGTGGACAATGGCCAGCTTGTTGGAGGGATTAGGCTATGGGGAGAAGACAAACACGTTCTGGATCTTCCAGTCCCAGTTTGGCTCCCTGGCCCCAGCCCTGACCGCCAGCTCCAACCTTATCCCTCAGCAGCACAGTCCACACAAAGGGAAGCCCCAGAATCCCATCGCTGCTCCTCCTTGGCCACACACACACACACACACACACACACACACACACACACACACACAGCTCTCACTCACTATCTCCTCTGCCAGTTTCTCCAGCTGCTGGATATAGGGTGAGATGAGTGAGTGCAGGTTCTTAAGGATCTCCTCCACCTGCAGGGCTGACAGCAGGAAGCCCAATGCCTGCATCAGCCACATGCACTGGCTTGTCTGTGGGACAGAAAATGGAGGGTCAGTCCTGAACTCATCTGGTTGTGGGTGGGAAGAATGAACCAACTAGGAAGCTTCCAAGAACAGAGGGTAAAGAACAAGGCAGAAGATAGGATTTCTGTGGGTTCCTACAATATCCCCAGGGAGCCCCCTAGAAACTTTTGAGCTCACCTTGTGGATCTGTTTCATTAGCACATCCTAGGGATAAGAAAAAGAAATATGGTATCAGAGCAGTGCAGAGTGTGCCTGACGCTCCGCTCCACCCAGGGACCCTGCATACCTGGGAAACTGCCACGATGTTGGCAGCATAGGGTGGCAGGTCATACTTGCATTCTCGGCAGATCTTTTTGAGGGTGGACACAGAAGAGACAGAGAGCTCAGGATTGCCTAGGGCGTGCAGTACAAGGGGAAGAACGCTGTTGATCATGACGGGGTGGTCAGCCAGCCATTCAGACAGAGCTCCTGGAGGAAAAAAGGGGGGAGAGAGAGAGAGAGAGAGAGAGAAAAGAGGATAGTGAGGCAGACCATGTCCCCGCAAGGCAGGCAGAGCTGCCGGGCAAGGTCAAATTGCAGGCCCGGTATAGAGCACTGTTCATTCAGAGGACTGAATGGGCAAATATGCATGCACATGATCAAACATGATCCTTAAAGCGGAGAAGCAGGACTAGCCTCACTGAATTGCAGTGGATCAGTCTCATTTTATTGCAGCTCAGTACACTCACGAGGAAGAACCCTTAGATGTGCCAGGACAGTTAGTTAGCTGTGACACGGACTGTGTATGTGGGCATGTGTGTCTCTCATTTTGGATGGGACCCAGCAGGCTGGCTGTAGCTGGGGGATGGGCGCCTATGGTTCTAGAATGTGCTCATGGGTGTGTACCAGGCCTCACCAATGGTGAACATGACGGTGTCCGCCAGCTGCACGTTGCTGATGCTGATCCGTGGGATGAGGCCAATGAGCCCAGGCACCACATCAGAATAGTTGACATCAATGGTCTCTGCGATGGATTGGAAGCCATAGAGCAGGGCTTCTGTGTGCTGGGGAAAGAGGGGGCCACTGGCTTGGCTGAAGAGCAGGGTGTGACAGATCTAGGAGGGCTGAGGGAATCAGGCTGGAGGGGTACCTGCCAGGAGTAGGGCTCCTCTGAGTTGGTGAGCAAACGGCCCAGCTTGTCATAGAGGTTGCTGAGCAGCTCGGCTCCCAGCATTTCATAAACATACATGAGCGTGTCTGAGATGTCCACCCTGAGAAGCAGATGAAGACCTTGTACACAGCCTGCATCTTGCCCCCAAGCCCAGGAACCCACCCTGGTAACCTCACGACCATGTAAAAGTACACAGACAGTAAGAAAGGAGCTCCAGGATTCAGGAAGCCTGTCCTTGGGCCCCTCCCCTCATTGCCTTCGTTATTTCAGGACTCCATTTAGAGCTGGGATTGACCTGCTACCGTCACCTGTAAATTCGGAACTGCTCCTTCTCATCTGAGGACCAGAATCCATATTCCTCATCAGAAGGGAACTGGGCCTTGTGCAGAAGCACATCCACCAGCTGGAAGTAGACTGGCCTGTACACTTGCTGGTACACAGCCTGCTTCTCTGCCTCAAAGGACAGAATGTCATCCTGAGAGCCAGGGAAGAGTATTAGCCACCTCACCAGCAGCCACAGAAGCCCATTAGCCACCTTCTCCCATCATGGCCCCCTCCTCCTGGAGGTCACACAGACACACCTGCAGCGTGTACCAGAAGGTGAGTGTCAGGGAGCTGGTGGTCTCATTGACAGGATAGTGGCCAGGGATACCCGTGCAGAACATGATCATGTTGACAAGGGCCAGGAAGCTCTGCCAGTGCTCCACTTGGTCAAGCAAGGCCCTTGGAGGAAGGAGATACAGAAGGTCACTCAAGAAGGCTCCATAACCTCCCCTCCTTACAGCGCCCTGCTATCCCACCCCCAGCTGCTCCACTCCTCACCGAGAGTGGTTCTCGCCAAGGGCCACAGCAATGCGGCAGATGCCGTGGGAGGTCTCCATGTCCCCATTCTGCACTGCTTGTCGCAGTTGCTCCTGCAGGCCCAGCACCAGTGGGATGAGTTTCAGGAGTGTGTTCACATACCTGGAGGCATGAGGGGGAGGAGACCCATCAGAGCTGTCTGCCCATCCCTCACCAGATTTGAAAGAAAGGTACAATCGCCCAGTTTTCCATTGAAGTTCCCCTCCTCACATCAAATCCAAAGCGAAAGACAGATCAGGGCCTACATGGCAGCTGCCCATGCTGGGAAGAAGCTTAGGTCAGAGACCCCCTGGAAAACTCTGGAAAGGAAGTATAAGGTCAGTAATATGGTTTGAATTGTATGTTCCTATTAGAATTAATGCTGGGATGCAATAAGACTTTGGGGGAGATTGGATGAGGTGAATGTATTTTGCATGTGGGGTTGGACATAAATTTGGAGGTGCTAGAGGGCAGACTGTTACAGGTTGAATTGTTCCTTCCCCCTTTTGCAAAATATGTTGGAAGTCTTACCCTCTAGTACCTCAGAATGTAACCTTATTTGGAAATAGGGTCATTGCAGATAAGGTCACAGAGTAGGGGGGCTCCTAATATGACTGGTGTACTTATAAGACATTCGTGAGAAGAGAGACCTACAGGGAGAATGACATGTGATAGCAAAGGCAGAGACTGGAGTTACACAGCTCATGCCAAGGAACACCAAAGGTTGCCAGCAAACCACCAGAAGCTAGGAGGAGGCAAGGAAGGAATCTCCTATAGGTTTCAGAGGAAGTTGAAACCTTGATTTCAGACCTTTAGCCTCTACAAGTGTGAGACAGTAAATTTCTGTTGTTTACCCAGTGTGTGGTACTTTAGAACAGTAGGTCTAAGAAACGAATACAGATACTGTTCGGGGAGACTGAACAGGATGGGAGACAGAAGAGTTAACAGGAACCATGTTAAAGACTTTAAAAAGTAGCAACAGCTCCTAAGAGCATCAATCCCCACCTTTCACTTCACCCCCTACCAAACCCTAACTCCTATGTAATCTGGTAGCAGTAAGAAGGCAAAGCGGATGATGAACTCAGAGAGAGCTAAGGCAAAATGAACAAGACTTGATGATTAACTGGATATGAAGATGGGAAAGAGTCAGGGAAAACCCTCAGGTTACTGACTAAACAACCAGGTAGATAGTAGGACTGTAATCCTGGAGGGGTGGGTGGAGAGGGACAGTACCAAACAAATTTAATGGGAGGCTGAGAGCGGTAAGTTCGGTGTAAGGCATGTTGAATCAGAGGTACCTGAGGAGATATGCAGGTAGAAGTGTCCAGAGCGTTGGATTTAAAAACATGAAACTCAGGGACAGATCCAGAGACAGAGAAGCATTGATTAGACCGTCAAACCTCAGCGGGAAGGTAGAGGAGAGTGGGGGTAAGGGGGAGAGATCAACCAAAGGAATTGTATGCATGCATATAAGCCTAACCAAAGGACGCTGGACACCAGGGGGGTGAAGGCATGAGTTGAGGGGAGTGTTGGGGGGTTAATGGAGGGATGAGGACACATATGTAATACCTTAAGCAATAAAGAAATTTAAAAAAAATTTACAAAGAGAAAAAATTAAGTATATGGATATGAATGTAATAAAATAAAAAAGATTTAGTATTTGAAAAAAACAAACACACACAGGAAACTCAATAGAGAGGTTAGAACAAGAGACATGGATGTTGGAGTCATCAGAGAAGAGCTGGTAATAGGAGTTACAGGAGTAGATGAGAATTGCTCAGGAAGAAAGTGTTGAATGAAAGATAGTCCAGGTCAGAGCCCAGAAGCACAATGACCCCTCAAGGAGCAGCAGAGGAAGCACAGTCCACAAAAGCGACTGAGGGAAGGCTAGCTCCCTTCCACTGGTCTCCTCCCCAGTAGCCTGTTCTGTGGAGACCAGATTACACAGAGGAAGTGACACTCTCATCAGGGAATCAGATGCTTGGGACTCCTCTGCTGTCAATCATGCATCACCATACCAATCTATGGAGGGGAGGAGGAGGGGAACGGGACTGAGTGCCCAAGAGTTCAACATGGACTTGCCCCAAGCAGATTGTTAGGTAAATGACCTAATAACCTTAGGGGTAAAATGTGGACAGAGGCAACCAGGCCAATATGTTGGCCTTCTCCACTCCCCTGTTTTGGTGAGATAAGACGTCCATACCAGGATATCTCAGACTAGAGATAGCCCCAGAGGGCGCTGCCTAGAGACAGCTGGGAGAGCTTCAGTCTCATGACCCTGACACAGGCTGTACCACCAGACAATGGGCACCTTCAGGCCAGATCTGGCACAAAGAGCAGGGGCAGGGCCAAGGCCAAGATCCCTGAGTTCTCAGCTGCTGAGATGGGGGCAGGAGGCAGTGCCCTGCCCCCACAGCACTCCCACTGCATTCCAAAGCTGCCCCACACCTGCCAAAATCCATGTATACAATAGGTCCTCAATGAATTTTCTTAACTTCTCTCATCTGAGCTTTATAATAAAATAAATCAAGGACAATCTAGCCCAGAAGGACTCAGAGTATTACTCAAGGTCATATAGCAAGTGAGAGGTAGGTGCCAAGCTGAGAAAGGTCCTTATACTGCTGTAGGTCTGCATCTCTTTCAGGGTCCAACCTGAATTTCTCTAAAGCATCTATACTGATCTCAGACCATATTTCAAGTCCTAACTGATGGGGGCTTCCAAGAGCCTAATTCACCTTCTCTCCTCATCAGTTACCAATGAAAAGCTTTTCCAGAATTAAAAACATATTGCGGGGTGGGGAAGAGGGCATTTCAAAGGACAGTCAGGCAAGCAGCAGCAGTTGTGGAGGAGAGACAAAAGGTGGCAAGTGCAAGCTTAGTCAAGGGGAGGGCTGATGTCATGAAACCTGGGTAAGGCAGTGCTGGATGACCCAGAAGTCAAAACCACTGAAGGTGACTTTCTCAAGCCAAAGCTAGAAATCTAGACTACAACACAGCAAGGTCCAAACTGGAACTCCGAGCTGGGTGCAGCCCACCCACTGGGGAAACTCTTGCATAGATTTCTTACCCCTGGACACCTGTGCCTGAGACTTGTGAGTAGACAGGAAAACAGACCCAAAGCCCCTAAAGTTTGGGGAGGGAGATAAGAGAGGATGTCTTTAGTGCCATGGCTGAGATTGGGTTCAAGTGGGCTGATTGCAGTCGGTTAGCTTGAACTGCTGGGGCAGGGCTGCTGGGACTCCTTAGCTGCCACTCACACTGAGCTCAGCCCAGACCTGCAATTACAGATCCAGGAGCAGAGCTGAAAAGGGGAAGAGTTGCTAAGCAACAAAGGGAACTGCAGCCAATAGGCACTTAGGAGGCTGTGTGCTTCCTCCCTGGCTTCTTGCTTGCTCATTGGCTCATAGAAGAAGAGGCATCAATTACCTGCCAAAGCCCTGGAGACTGGCTGGGCGGGTAAACCTGGGTGTATCCAAGGACATCCCACATCACCCATGCACTGGCCCTGGCCAATTCTCCTTACCCAACTGTCTGAGCCCAGCCAGCACCTGAGCTCTGGCTGCCAAGGAAGGCCTTGACCTGAGACTTGCTAACCACCTCAAGTTGAAAAACGTGGGAAACCAGGGGAAAGGCATCATAGTAACGGCGAATGCAACAATGATACCAAATACTAAGAAATGCCATTTCTGGAGTACATAGGAACCATGTTAGACCTTTCACAGACCTTCCCTTATTTAACCCTCATAACAAAATATTCTTTACAGAATACCAGGGACAGGCCCCGTGTATACTATTCTAGTTAAATCATTAAAAACCTGTGAGGTCAGTATGATTACATACATTTTACTAATGAAGAAACTGAGGTTTACCCGAGGTCTCAGATCTAGTAGATGGACCATTTCTGGGATTCAAGCTCAGATGTGATGAAATGCCAAGGCTAGTGCCATTAACCACTCCCCTCCGCTGTCTCTTTCAGTGTTATTTTCCTCCCCAGTTCAGCCAAGGGTTCCCAAAGTCCCATCTCTGAAATGTTAGTGTCAGGCTTCCAGTTCCTCCAGGTCAATTCACCTTATTCCAAAAATCTCATCATGCCATTTTCTCTGCTTAAAATCCTTTCATATCTTTATATCATCCTCAGGATGAAAACTAAAATCTTAAACTGATAAGATTAAGGCTGATAATGTCCTACATGACCTGGGCCCAGATCTCCTATACTGGCCCTTAAACCCTGCTGTCTAATCATACCCTTCATCTGTCTGAAATGTCCTCGCCATATCCATCACCTCCATCTGACTAACTTTTACACAGCCTTCAAAGAATAGCTCAGCTGTCACCTTTCCTGGGCAGCCTTTCACAACCCACACAGACTTGGCTCTTACAGCCCCTCTGCTCTCTCCATTAGAGTATTCATCATGTTGACTATACTTGCTCATTCATGTATCTAGTTATGAGCTCCTAACTTGCAAAAATCAACCCATTTATCTTTATGTTCCTAGTCCTCACTACAGGGCCCAACACACAAACAGGTACTCAACAAACATTTGCTGAATGCCTTACTATTATATTTGCATTTTCTTCTAAGTCCTTGAATGTGCAAGGTGTTGTTCAACACAAGTCTTTGCACCTGCTATTGTTTCTGAAGTCTGCAACATTCCCTCCTCCCCAACTTCTTCCACCCCTTGTCACTTTTCTTTTCTTTTTAAAAAAATATAGTTTATTGATTTTTAACAGAGAGGAAGGGAGAGGGATAGAGAGTTAGAAACATCGATGAGAGAGAAACATCGATCATCTGCCTCCTGTACACCCCCTACCGGGGATGTGCCCACAACCAAGGTACATGCCCTTGACCAGAATCGAACCTGGACCCTTGAGTCCACAGGCCAACACTCTATCCACTGAGCCAAACCGGTTAGGGTGGCAAGTCCTACTTTTTATCTGTTCAAAGAATATTGAATGCTACCAAGTGCTGCTGGTACAATATGACAAAATAAAATGATAGAGTGCGTTCCTCACAGAGCTGAGAGACTAATGGGGAGACATACATTAATTTATAATGAAACCGTGTTATGGACTAAGAAGGAAAAACACTGGAGTTCTGGATAAAATAATAGAAAACACCAAACTAAGTCTTAAAAAAATCATAAAGGACGTGAAGTTTAAGCTGAGACAGAAGTGATATGTCAAGAACATGTGATGGTTCAGAGCCTGGAAGGAGCATGGGACATTCAATAAATAGAAAAGACTGAGAGTGAAGAAAGCAAGGGGATGGGCCATGAGGTGAGGCTAGAGATGTCATATTGGGAACCTGAACTTCACCCTATGAGCGCTGAGAAGCCACTGAAGCATTCTGAGCAGAAAGGAAATATTAAATATTCATTTTCAAAAGATCACTCTGGCTGTTGCTTGGACAATGCAGGAAGGGTACAAGAGCAAAACCCAGGGGACGGTGAGAAAGCTCTACAATAATCTGGGGAGAGGTAATGACAGCTTCAACTAGAGTGGTGGCAGTGGAGATGGAAAAAAAATAGATTTGCAATACAGTACGGTCAGGGGCAGAACAGCCAGAACTTGGTTGAGAGAAAGAGAAGAGTCAACTATTTTAACGGAATAATTCACTGGATGGTTACTTATCTAATGTCTGTCTCCCTCTTTGAACCATGGGACAGGGACCATGTCTTGATGGGTTCCTTGCTGTATCTCCAGCATAGGACCGTGCATGCAGTAGGCACTCAATTAGTGTGTTTACTGAACAGATGGATGGATAGACGGATGCATGGATGGCCAAGCAGACTGCCCCACTCTGGGAAGGTGGGGACCAGCTCACCTCTGGGCATCAGGCTGTGAGATGGCATTGACAATGGCCTCCACGCTGCTGTCAAAGAGCTCCGAGTCCTGCAGAGCGGCGAAGGCAGCCTGAATGAGGGCCTCACAGTCCTGCAACGGCACCTCCAGCTGCACCCAGCTGGAAAAGCACTTGAGTACCTTCTGACGCACACAGCTGGGGGAGCTGGGCTGCTGCAGCAGCTGCTCCAGCAATGGGAAGACGGCCCCACATTCCACTGCCAGGCTGGCCCGCACCAGGCCCTTGCGGTACTGGGGCAGGCGACTGGTCTGAAATTCCTCAGGCAGCACTGTCAGCAGCTCCAGCAGAGCCAGGCAGCGGCCCTGGCCGTCCACCAGTGAGTCCTCAGCCTGAAAGAGTCGTACCATATCTGCCACAGCACATGGCCAAGCGTCAGGCATCATGCTGAGTGCCAACGAGGCCAGCGCCACACACAGCCGAGTCAGCACAATCTTGGAGCCACTGGCAAAGCGAGTGATCTGAGTGAAGAGCTGCGCCTTCAGACTTTCATACTGGTCAGTGGGGATGTCGCTCCAGTAGCGAGAGATCTTGATGTGCAGGGCACTGGCCCCAAAGTACTGGATCTCAGGCACCTTGTCAGGCTGTAGTAACTGCCAGCTGAAGTGCCAGGCCTGCGGGGAGACCTGGGCCTGCATCAGCCACTTCTGAGCCAGGTTCTTGTTCTCAATGTTAGGGTCGTAGTAGAGCTGGTGCAGCGCCTGCAGGAGAACACAGGATTGAGCAGGTGTTGGCCACTCTGGATCCTGCCAGAGCCCATAAAAGAGGGTGTGATTTGGTCCCGCAATACGGCTCTCTTTCTACTTGGGGGTGCTGAGCAGAAAGGGAGAACTCAGGGCTCTGCAGTTTCCTGGGCCCAGGACCCTGCCAATATTTTGAGAACCTGAACTTTCTTCATGCTCTACTATATCCTCTTCTTATAGCAAAGCATTATGGATTCAGAGAGTGAACCTTCACAGACTAGCGCGCGCGCACACACACACACACACACACACACACACACACACACAAAGAGGAGGCTGAGCTCATCACAGGGGAGGCATGAGGTAAAGGGCATGGCCCAGGTGGGAGGAATGGCTCCACAGGGATGAAGCTAGGCCTGAGAAGAACATGAAATAACCTGAGGGGCTCTGACCCTCCCAGGCACAGCTGTTCCGATCAACTCCAAAAGCTCCATTTAGCTCCCCCAGGATCTTCTTCCCTAGGTCACTCCAGATGCTGGCACCACAGCCAGTGTGAAACCTGAGAAAGACTAGGACTTTGCCAGGCAGCCCTCGTGCAGAAACATACTGGAGAGGGGGATGAGAAAACCCCCAGAGAACGCATGGAGGATCCAAACAGCTGGCCCAGAGAAGTCTTAGCCTGCTGCCCTGGCAAATGCCTAGTCTGAGATTCTCAACTAGCTGAATCCCCGCGGTCCCAATGCCATTGGGATGTCATACAGCAAGAAAACAGAGGTTCATCTCCCTGGTAGCACACGGAACAGCGCACCACCATGCCGACACTGCCCAGCCCCATGGGGTGGCAGAGGGAGACCAGGATTCTGATCGCCTAAACAGCTCCATCCAAGTAGGCTTAGCTCTATCTGTCCCTCTGACAGCCCGTTACAGCTGCTGTTGCTGTTTGGCTGCTCACGGATGCAGAGAACAGAAGCAGAAGGGATGCGTCCTCACCATTTGGCATGGCAAACAGGGGTCAAGAATAACGAACGAGTTATCTCTGACTATTCCTTATTTCCCATCAAGGTAGCCTACCTCCCCATTAACCCTGGGGGTGTGGAGGATGTAATTCTGCATTCCCGGCCTCTGTGGGTGAGAAGCAGTTTTCAAAAAAAGATGGACCAGGCAGTGGGGCAGTGGGGGGGGGGGGGATGTGTGGGGGGCGCAATGGCAGGAAGCTTTACGAGCAGGTGAATAGAAAGGAACCCCGAGGCTGCCAGCAGAACCAGGCCCCCGGGACCCAGCACAAAACAAAAGGGGACCGCCATCCGCCTGCCCGCCTTCATCCAATAAAGGAAGGGCCCTTCTCCAAGAAAGTCTGAAAACATAACCCGGATGGTTTTAGCCTCAGGTTATTTTCCGAGCCCCTGGCTCCACAAAAAGGACCCAGGATGGCTCGGCATCCGATGGCTTCTGAGGACTGAGCTGTAGGTCTCCTGGGTTCCTGGGTTCTCGCTGCACGGCTCCTGCAGCTCCCACGGAGCTGGAGAACGGCCAACCTGGCTGGAGGGCTAAGCCATCGACACCCTGGAGGGACCATCCCGAGACCCCTGAGCATCTCTATCCACAGGGGACCCAGGTCTGAGGAAAGCCAAACCGAGCCCTTTAAGACACGGTCACACTGCTGTCCTGCGGGCCCAGAGACAGCAAACACCAGGTGTCCCGGGGGCACCATCCCAGCGGGCACCCGGCCCAGGTCTGGGCCCTGGCATCAGTGCCCGTGCCCAGAACTTCTGCTCTGTCACTGGAGTGCCCACCCCAGGGCCCTCGTACCTTCTCCACGTTCTCCACAGTGAAGTCCAAGGCTGGTGCTGCTCCAGCCCCTGCAGCCCCCGGCTGCTCCTCCCGCCGGTCCATCTCTGCTCCTCCCCAGCAGGGAGGGGGACCCTGGCCTGTCTCCTGCCCCAGCCCCCTGGCTGCTGGCCCCCTTGCTAGACCCCGGCTTGAGTGCCCAGGGAGTGGTGGTGTGGTGACAGGGGACCCAGGGTGGGCATGGCTGCCGAGGCCTCCCCACCTCGATTGGGGTTGGAGGGCTTGCCAGACACCAAAAGGGGGTGGTCTTAGGAGGAGAGCCACTGAGGGGGTGTTCTGGGGAGGAGCCCTCAATGAGGAGTTCTCCAGGCGGGGGTCCTAGTGGTAGGTCACGGCTCTGTTTCCAGAATCTGTGAGAAGGAAGTCATGGGGAGGGACGCCCGTGGGGAAAACCGAGCCCCAGCCCGTGAGAGGTCACTGGGTCGATGGCCTGTACCCACAACACCCTCGACGGAGTGCGCTCCCGGGTCCTAGGAGGAGGTCACTGGGGTGGGAGGGAGGTCACGAGGGAAAGAGCCCTTGGCGGGTTACGGAAGGCGTTCCAACGAAGCGCGGGGGTGCAGCATCGACACTCTGGGGCGAAGCGTCCGGAACGTTGAGGGGCTGTGGCAGATCCCCTCCGCTGGGCCTGGCCCTCACTCTCCTCGCCGCCCGGCTCCGGCCCCGCTACCGCCGCTGCCTCCGCCCCAGTGACTGACAGGCTAGCCGGCTCGGCCGGGACGGGGCGGGGACCTTCGCGAGGCGCGGGCTGCCCCGAGCGCCTGTCCCCGGCACCGCTGACTCAGGCGCCGACCCTCCCCCGCGCCTGCCCTGACCCGGCCGGCCCGGCACAGCCCGGCACGGCCCAGCGGAACTGCGCGGAAACTCATTCCGGGTCTTCGGGCCTGTCCTCGTGCCAGCCCTCTCGCCCCGGATCAGGCGACGGAGCGGCGCGTCGCTCGAGGCCCCCGCCGAGCCGAGGTCCCGCCGCTACGCATCCTGGGAAATGTAGTCTCTATTGCTCCTAGCGGGAGCACGGCGCCTCTCGGCGGAGGCCCGGAGCACGTGGGCTGGGGCCCCGCGGGGCCCCGGGAGCCCCAAGCTTGCTAGGGTCGACAGGCAATTCCCAGTCAATTCCCCGCAGCTCCTCAGGGGCTGCAGGTGGGAGCCCAGGTGTGGGGGGGGAAGGTGTGTGAGTTGGGGGCGGGGCGAGGAGCGGTGTGGAGGAGCGGTCACTCTGGTGCTCTGCTTCGGGTGCACCCTGAGACCCAGGAACCGGACCGTGTGGGGAGGAGGCGTCAGTACCATGAGAAGAAAGGAGGCTCGGTGCGCCTCGGGAATAAAAAAAGGACGGCTCTCGGAACCACCCAGTGAGCAACCAGGAAGCCACATACCATGGACAGTGCTCGGAGAATTTCATAAGGTTCTTGGAAGCAACTTCTATTTATGTGTAATTAGAACAAGACCAGCTCACACCTAAGTGCTACGAACAGTACTTTGCATACCTTACGCATCAGTTCTCAACAATTAGAAGGCGGGGAATTTTATGCAACATTTTCAGATGAGGAAACAGGTTGGGGAAAGTTGAGCTTATCTTGCCCCTGGACACTCAGGGTATCAGAGATCACCAATAGATATTGCTCAGGGGCAGACCCCAGCAGTCCCTTCTCTTTACCACTTGCCCTTTTTCCTTGGGGAAAAAAATTTTTTTTTTTATTGATTTTAAAGAGAGAGAGAGAGAGAAGAGGAGAGAAGGAGAAAGAAGAAACAGCAATGTGAAAGTAAAACATGGATAGGCAGCCTCCTGCACGCCCCCTATCGGGGATAGAGCCAGCAACCCTGGCTTGTGCCCTGGCTGGATAATCAAACCAGCAACCTCTTGGTGCACTTCACGACACCCAGCCAACTGAGCCACACTATGCAGGGCATCACTTATCCTTTTATAACTCTTGCCAGCTACCCGGAGGGGGCGAGTGGGGTGGACCTCTATACCTGGGTTCAGTGGAGGAAAACAGCCTTGGCAATAGCCACCAAGGCCTGAGAAGGCAGAGGAAGGCTTTCCTGCGGAGGAGAAACTTGAATGGGGAGGAGGTGCTCAATTAGCTGGTAAGCAAAGTCCAAGTGGAATCCAGTCACTCAACAAATCTTTATCAAGAAAATGTTTAGCCGAAACCGGTTTGGCTCAGTGGTAGAGCATTGGTCTGCGGACTGAAAGGTCCCGGGTTCGATTCTGGTCAAGGGCATGTACCTTGGTTGCAGGCACATCTCTGGTAGGGGGTGTGCAAGATGCAGCTGGTTGATGTTTCTCTCTCATCGACGTTTCTGGCTCTCTATCCCTCTCCCTTCCTCTCTGTGAAAAAATCAATAAAATATATTTTTTTAAAAATGTTTAGCCCTAACCGATTTAGCTCAGTGGCTAGAGTGTCGGCCTGCAGACTGAAGGGTCCCAGGTTCGAGTCTGGTTAAGGGCACATCCCCAGTGGGGGGTGCACAGGAGGCAGCTCATCTATGTTTCTCTCTCATCGATATTTCTCTCTATCCCTCACTCTTCCTCTCTGTAAAAAAAATCAATAAAATATATTTTTAAAAAAGAAAAAACTATTTAAAGTACAGCTAGTAATTTGTGTTCAGTCTAAGGGGTTATAGATGGGGTGAGGAAGAGGGAGGGATGAGTAACAGGTGAGTTTGGAAAGACAAGTTGGGAGCAGTAGACGCTTGAATGAGTTTAGACTTTATCATAAATGCAATATGAAACCATCATGCGATTTCAGCTGGGCGTTGATGACTGGATTTGCATTTTAGAAAAGTCTACCTGTAGTATGTAGGATAAATCGAAGGAGGAAAGAGTAGAAGTAGGGGAGATTTGGGAAGAGAAAACAGGAAGGCCAAAATAAAGTAACTGATTCCAGGACTTGGAGCTCAGGAGAAAGGTCCAGGCTGGAGATATAATGTAATCACCATTGGTATGGAAGTAACTGGAATCATGGGGGTAGAGAATGTAGCTCAGGGAGAGAGTAGAATGGGAAGAGAAAAAGGCCTATATCAAAGCCTCAAGGAACACGTGAGAGGCAGAGAGAGGAAAAGAAGCCCAAGAGTAGCCTGAGAATGAGCAGCGGGAGGGGTGGACGAAAAAGAGAGCATGGGATCAAGACAGTCAATGCAAGACAGGTTTTCAAGGAGGAATAACAGATTTGAGTACTTCTGAGAGTTCAAAGGACAAGAGTTCAGTAATGATGAGGTCACTGGTGACCTCAGCATGAGCTCTTTTGGTGAAGGAGAGGTGAAAGTATATATATATATATATAATCACAGTGTCAATTTTGTTCAATGCTGTGTTACATTTGAGCAGGTTTAAATTAAGAGGGAAAGGAGGCAGGGACCGGTTTGGCTCAATGGATAGAGCGTCGGCTTGGGGACTAAAGGGCCCTGGGTTCGATTCCAGTCAAGGGCATGTACCTTGGTTGCGGGCATATCCCCAGTAGGGGGTGTGCAAGAGGCAACTGATCAATGACTCTCTCTCATTGATGTTTCGAACTCTCTATCTCTCTCCCTTCCACTCTGTACAAAAATCAATAGAATATATTAAAAAAAAAAAAAAAAAAAAAAAAAAAAAAGAGGGAAAGGAGATACTCAATTTTAAAAGGTTGAAGAATGGGGAGGCTTGTAAATAATTGAGACCGAGTGCTCTGATACGGAGTCCTGACTACAGATGGAGGAATTATTCTAGCTACAGGAGGACATTAATAATAGTATCTAGAACAGGGTATGACGCCTCAAGGGCCATGAACATCTAATTTGGGGAATTTTTAAAAAATAGATTTTTACTGATTTCAGTGAGGAAGGGAGAGGGAGACAGATAGAAATATCAACATTGATTGACTGCCTCCTGCAGGTTTCACTCAGGGGATGGAGCTTTTGCGGGGGTTAGGGGAAGATCCTTAGCTTTTATCATATTCTCCAGCTCCAAAACAAGTTAAGAAGCACTCCTGTGAATACAAAAGGTGATCTCATATGGCGCAATTCTCCCAGATTGTTCCTGATTTCTCAACTTTCTACCCATCTTATGCTTTTCAAGATGAGACCCTAGTCACCCAGTCCACATACACTCCACCACAGGTGTCTTCAGCCTAAGGAAATATGGCAATCCCTGGGCAAGAGAGGAGAAAGCAACTGGCAAGTGTAGAAGGAGCACATGGAACCCTGAACCTTGATTCTTGAATGAAATAAACCTAGAGGAAAGTTTTGGGTGCTCCTTGAAGTGAAAAAAAAAAGTCATTTTAAAGACATCTGTAGTTTTCTGTCTTACAAGTGGCAGTGACTTGATACCCTTTGGAGGAGACCACACAATGTCGTTCTGAATGTAAAACAAGGACTGTAGTTGGAAATGCAGATACTAAAGCCACCTGTGGCTCCGCGCGTGAAAGTTCTCTGCCTGGTGAGGTCATGTGCCAGGTGCCCTCTGCTAAGTTGTATGAAAAGTACAGCTCTTGTTTTCTTTGGGGAGAATGGCTTTATTATTTTGTGGTGTCTTTGTTAAAAGAGGGGTTTGAGTTGTTGTGAGCTGCAAACTGAGACTGGTTCTGTGGGAATGTTCCTCTCGGAGGAGTTGCCATGTCATCTGGGACGTTGAGATGTTGGGTACAACCTCCCTGGGGGACACTCTACTCCCTCAAGCACTGGCAATTTCGGGGTGTGGAAAGCCAGCACTGTTGGCTTGAGTTCAGACCTGCCTCTTGCTGTGAGCATTGTCAGAAATGGCTTTAACCTGTCTCCTTAAGTGGCTCTGAGAGCAGAAATGTCCATGAGGGGCGGGGTTGGGGGATATGGGAACTAGGCCAAGCATTCAAATCTTTCTAGCAGGGACTTCTGGCCCCAATGACCTTGGAATTAACAGGATGCCCCCTTTTATCCTCACCCAGGGCCAAGGAGCTGTGTGTTAACTATATGGCATACATTAGTGCCATTTTCTTGGGGGGGGGGGGGAGAGGGAGAAAGAAGTGGGTTGGGAGGTGCAAGGGTGTTTGGAGACTGAGGATCCTGAATCAGTTTGGAGGTAGAGAGAGGGGCCAAGGGGGCTTGTGAGGGTAGCAAGGGAGCACGTAGAACTGGGGCAGTGAACACAAAAGAGTGGAAGCACAGGTTTCTCCTCCTTGACTCAGAATGAGCACAACCTTCAGAGAGCTCTTGCCAGCTCCACACTCTGGCCAAAGGGGCACCTGTGCCAAAGCAGGCAGGCACGTCACAGCCTGGAAGGAATGTTGGCCAGCAGTGTCAAACGCAGAGGGGTCCCACCTGGAACCCGCCTCAATCTCATCAGGATGCACTCCTGCACCCTGGCTGCAGCTACTGCCTGTGTCTCCCTCCTCAGTCCCAAACCAGCAGAGCCCACTGCCTCCTGACAGCCCCTCTGGATGTCCCGTGGTTCCTCAGACTCAGCATCCTTTCCAAATACATGCCCCCATCACTCCCAAAGGAGAACATCACACAGGACAAATGAGTAGGACCCAGGAAACCAGGTTTCACGGGACACTCAGAGACGCTCAGAGGGATCGCACTGACCTTTTGGAGGCGACTCAGGGACAGTATCCGCACGAACCTCTTCCTCCTTTCAGATGAAGGTGTGTGACTCTTAGCTTCTTGTCCTCTCTCAAACTGTCTGCCAGACTGCACTTAAATAATTATTTATGTAAGTATTCCATGTCAGTCTCTCCTAGTTTAACCTTAAGGCACGGATCATATCCCCTTCTCTTCCGTGTCCCTGATGTCTGCCCAGTGTCTGACATACAAGAGATATGTAATTAATGTTTGTAGAATGAATGAATGAATGTTCTTGTTCATCACCAAGATGCAGGACCCTCTTGAGGCCCTCACTCTGTTCCTGCATTCCTAGTCCTTTGATGCTCCATGCTTCATCCCCCCAACCTAGCCACCCACTGTCCTTTGCAGAAGCTCATGCAATGTGGGTGGTGAGCTCCCCATACGGGACCAGCTGCCATCAAAGTGCCCCGAGGGGAGGGCACTGATCAGTGACTGGGGAGTGGGAGTGTGTGGTTTTCTGTGTCATTACCCATTAAAGCAAGACCCCCAGGATGCCTACAGTTACCAGGGTAGGGCTTTCTCTCCCAGTAACCCCAAACCCCAAGTGCTGGAGACTGTGCAAGGGGTTGGAAGCTAACTTGCCAGGATGGGCGAACGAACCTTTGCCACTCACTCTGTTCCATGGCCCCACGTCCCAGAGCTGCCCGTTAGAGGAAGCAGCTGGAGATGCCGGCTCGGCCTGTGATTGCTGAGTCAGCCTGCCGTGGTGAGTGGGAAGGTCCGTGGCATGCTCTCCAGCCAGCGGCTCTTACCCATCCAGCCCCCACTGCCCAGGAAAGGATCAGACAAACCACAGAGGTAAATAAATAACTTAGAAATAATAAATAGGGGTCCAGGTCTCTGGAGTGAGTACCAGGCCACTCCACTATAGGCACTTCAGCCATGCAACGGCAGTGTGCCTCCTCCCATTCGGTCCCCCCAGGACCTGGGCGGGCGGAGGCTGAGACCTCAAACTCTGCTGGGTTCTCCAGAGGAGTCCTGGCTCTGTGGCCTGCTCGGTGCCAGAGTCCGTGAGAAGTGAGTGGTCCTAAGGTCTCATAGCCGAGGTCTCTGATGTCTGTAGGGCTGGGAGGAGCAAGGTGAGGCCTGCCAGTCCCTCATCCTGCAGGGCTGATGCCCATCACAAGCCCAGCAGAGGCCGGCGGTGTCCATCCCTGGCTGAGGCCTGTGGTCCCTTCCAGGCAGGAAGATTTCCTCGTGTAAGGGTACCATCCGTACATCTCCGGGAGAGCCCTCAGCCCAAGCAGCCGCAGGCAGTGGCCGAGAGCTTGTCCACGGTCCTCCAGGTGCTGTTGACATCCATGAAGGAGAGGGCCTCGTAGCTCGTGGGCCGGCAGCAGGGCTGCAGAGCCGGCTGGGAGCCCGGAGGCGGCTGCAGGGCCCCATTCTCCAGCAGGTTGGCCAGGCTGATGTCGTGCGAGGAGCGCGCGCGGCGGCAGGAGCCGCTGCAGAAGCCGAAGCGCACCAGCTCGTCGGAGCTGTGGCCCAGCCCCAGCGCGCTCACCGGCACCAGCTGCGAGCGCAGGCGGCAGCCCCGCGCCCCCGCGGCCCGCGCGCGGCTCCCGCGCCTCCCGTGGACACCCCGGCCCCAGGCCCGCGCGGCGCGGCCCCCGCGGGAGGGCGCGGGCGAGGGCGCGGGCGGCGGGGGCGCGGGCCGGGACGGCTGCGGGGGCGGCCGCCGGGCTCTGCCGCCGCAGGAGCGGGAGGCGCGGCCACCTGGAGGGAGACGGAGTTGGAGTCCTGCGTGCGCGCGCGGGGTCCCGGGCCGCCCCGCAGCCTCCCCGCGCCCTGCCCTCCGCTTACCGGTCAGGTGGCCGGCGGGGGGCGCCGGGGCCGGCGCGGGGCCGTCCAGGGCGGCGGGGCTGCGGGGCGCCAGGCCCAGGGAGGCCTCAGCAACGCTGCTCAGCAGCACCAGGGTGGCCAGCGACGGCCACAGGGCGGGCTGCGCAGAGACAAGGTGGAATCTTAGGGAAGCAGAGGGCACCCAGGTGGTCTCGGGGCGCAGGGAGCCCGGGAAGGGGGCGGGGGCAGCAGAAATCCGAGAGGGGCTTCTAGTTGGGCGGGAAGGAGAGTCGGGAAGGGCTTAGATTGGATCCAAGAGGAGAAATCACACCCGAGGAGGGCATCAACCTTCCTCCAAACTCCTGGTCCCTCCCTGACCACTTTCCTTGGCATTTCTGACTCCTGCCCAGGGCAAACCCTGCTCTCCCTCCCAATCCAGCCGCCCGTCCTCCATGCCAGGTGGGAGCTATTGGGAGGACCACTCACCTGCCACTTACGCCGGGGCCAGCGGGGCAGCACGGAAGGGCCTCCTTGTCCAGGCTCCATCTCTGTCAATACCAGGGTCTCCCATCAGTGGACTTGTTCCCCCACCCTCTTCTGGAGGCAGCTTGGGACATTGAGAGACGAGTTATCTTTGAGGAGGTCATCCCTCCATCTCAGATTCTCCAGGTGAGGGACAAGGGGCTGGATAGGTGGACTCAACCCAGGGGAAGTAGCTGCATCAGGAACTTACTTATGCCCTGGCCGGTTTGGCTCAGTGGATGGAGCCACAGCCTGTGGACTGAAGGGTCCCAGGTTTGATTCTAGTGAAGGGCATGTACCTTGGTTGCGGGCACATCCCCAGTGGGGGGCATGCAGGAGGCAGCTTATCGATGTTTTTCTCCCATTAATATTTCTGACTCTTTGTCCCTCTCCCTTCCTCTCTATAAAAAATCAATAAAATATATATTTTTTAAAAAGGAACTTAACTATGTGTTGGTCCTTTGCACGTTCTCACTTCTCTCTCTGTCCTTACAACTCCATGAGGTAAATGGTATAATCCCCATTTTCCAAATGAGCTCCTAGAAGTCCAACAAGTTAAGGGGGTATTTGGAAACATCCTCCCCTCCTCCCCAGTCTTCCTGCTGCAGGGCTGGAGCTGCCAGAAGGGAGTAGCTGGACCCCCTTGATCCCACAAACAGCTTCCTCTCCATGCCATCCAAGAAGAATTAGGGAGCTTGCTGGTTGGTCCAAGTTTTCTTATGGTAGTGAGGTTCCGGCCTCAGCCTGTGCCACCCACCCCATGCTGCTGACCCTTGTTCCTCTGTGGTCTGTGGACCTAGAGCCACATGATTTTCTCTCTTGATCACAGATGTCCTTCAGAGGCAGCAGAGGGGCCCTCCAAGAACATGGGGCCTGGGCCATGGTTCCCAATGGCCACCAGGGGGCAGCGTCTGCCAAGCATGCAGACTCAACGTGGGGTGGGCTTTTCCCTTCCCTCAGCCAGACTCAGGCCTGAGCAACTCCCAGGAGGGCCAGCCAGGGCTCCACACCAGGCTGGTCTGAGCGCTGAGCTGCCCCGCGCTGGTCCAGGGCTGTCCCCTTCCTCTTTCCTGTGGTCTAACAGCTGGCCCACCCTTAGAAGGTTCCTCCATGAGCCACCTTTCCTGAGCCCCGCCAGCCTTTCTGGGCCCCACCAGATTTAGTGAACCCACCCTGGCTGGCACTCCCAAACACCCTTGGAGCACCACAAGCCGGCCTGTTGTTGGGTCCCAGCTGTCACCTGCGTGTTTGTGGGTCAGACCTCCCCAGGCCTTCCTGGTGTGGTCCACCTCAGGTCCAGGTATGTTCAACTAACTGAATAGGGGCCCTGAGGGGCCAGGCCGGCAACTTTTCTCACTGGTTGAGGGAAAGCGAGGCAAGGCAGCCGTCAGGACCCCCTGTGTTTAGGGGGACCCCAGGAGCAGGTCTCCTGAGGGCAGCTAGCCCCTCTCTCCCTTCTGGTGGTTTGGGGCCTCTTGGTCTCGCAGCCTTTGCCTCCCCATCTGCAGCCAGAGACTCACCAGGAGGGTCCTGCACCCTGTTCTTCTAGGCACCGTCCCTGGGACCAGCGCTGGACCTTCCCTGCAGCTGAGAAGGCTCATGCCCAGGGCTATGCACCTGGCAGCGCCTCTTCCAGCCCAAAGCGTGGCCTTGGCAGCCAGTCTGCACCCAGTAGCGGCAGCAGGAGCCTCACATTACAGGGGGCTGGCAGGGCCAGCACCGTCCCACAAGCGACCAGAGGGACGGAGGGGGCTGGGAGGGGCAGAGAGCTGCACGCTGGGCCCAGGAGAGGGAGGATGTGAGAAAATGGGGGCGCCTCTCCTGCCCGCTCCCCCTGACTCCAGGACTAGGAGGGGGGTGGGCCCGCAGGCCGGCTTACCTCGAGTGCAGGGCTGTGGGTCCAGGATGCAGCCAGGGCTGGGGCCCGAGGGACCTGCTGCTGGTGGAGCCCGTGGGCCGTGTCTGGGGGCCGGGCCCAACTCCATCCCTCAGCAGCCTCATGCCTGCCGCCGACCGGTGTCAAATTCCAGTCCCGGCGTCACCGGATCCCGGGGTGGGGCCCCAGCGCCCCCGCCCCGCCCTACCTTTCAGGGTTCACCTGGTTGCTCCACCCGCTGGGATTCGGGGCCCACCCCCCCTCCAGGGCTCAGCTAGGCCCCCCAAGGTGAAGGGGAGGACACTGGGAAGTGGAAAACCCAGGACACAGTGTGGAGAACTTGAGCGGCGGAGAGGCGAGGAAAGTGGGCGTTCAGTTTTATAGGCACGCGAAGCAGGGAGCGGGGAGGCCGGGCTGAGGGCGGGAGAGGGAGGAGACAGGATCGTCCCAGCCTTGGGCCACCGGCCCCTCCAGTTGGCGCCGTCTCAGGGCCCTGGCTGGCCACCCTGCAGGGACTGCTCTCTGCTCTCCGGTCTGCTGCTAGCGTCTTCTCTCAGCGGCCCCGCTTGGGAGGGCCAGGCTCTGGGCTGGGGCTTCCACGTCTGACCCTGCTCCGGCCGCCCCACCGCCCCGCATCCTGGCAGTCCCGGGGCTGGGAGGAGGGACACACCTGTACACACCGCCCCTGGGAGTGGGTGCCCAGGGCTGAGGAAGGGAGGGTCACGGAGGAGGAGGATTTCGTGTGCTCATGCTTGAGTAGGAGCTGGGGGATAGTATTTCAGGAGCCTAATTATGGCAAGTTGGCAGGTGGGGTGGAAGTAGGGTGAGTAACGTGGAGAGGTAAGAAAGGCCAGATGCTGTGTCATGCCCGCGACTCTGGACTTCATCCTATCGCCCCCAGGGACCACCGAAGGGGTTCAGGCAGAATCGTGGTGCATCAGACGGACATGGCTCTGACTGCGGTGTGGGGAGGGGGGTTTGGGGATGAGGGTGAAGATGTCAGGAGGCTGCTGAGGGAGTGAGCGGGAAGCAGAGTGGTGGGGAGAGTGAGACTACACTACACTAGACTGATGGGCTGAGGGAGGGCAGATGCTGGCATGCTCCAGGCCGGCTGACCAGGTGGAGGGGATGCATTCTGGCAGGGGAAGTCCCTGGCGGAGGGCTGGGAGCTCAGTTCAGGGATGGACATGCTGAGTCAGAAGGACCTGTGGATGCTCCTGCAGGAAAGTTCAGGATGCAGCTGAATTTGCAGCCTGGCGCAGAGTGGAGGGGGCTGAGCTGTAGATGGCATGTCAGGAACCGTGGATGGGAATGAAAATGCTCAGGGAAGGCGTGTGGACCAGCTATGGCCCGGCCGTGCCCTCGGACACTCGTGGACCTCCTAAAACTGCCCGCTTCCGGGCTCCACCCCAGCCCTGACTCAGAACCTCGGTGTGGGCATGTGCCGCTTTCCAGGTCCGCACAGGTGCTTCCGGTGCACGGCCAAGGCTGAGGCCACTGCTTCTGTGAGAGCAGTTACCGGGCACAGGTGGAGGCCACAAGCCAGACTGCGGAGAACTGGGGTGGTGGGGGGCAGCCTGCAGGGCTGAAGGACCCCTGGGCGGCAGGAGGCCAGGTGGTGAGCAGCCCCACGTCTGCTGCCTCTCACAACCGGCTGCCCAGTTGGGGTGGCTTCCTTAGGGCTTTATCAGCCCTGGCTGTGGCCTGCAGGTACGCTGCCTATGCCCTGTACAACTCTAGGGGGCACTGTGCCTGCAGAATCCGATGTGCATGGAAGTGCTTCACAGCCGCCCAGCAGAACCTGAAGGGAGTTTCTGGGTTTGCCCGTCTGCGTCAGGGCCTTGCTTTCCCCTCAGTGGAGGCGGCTTCGGCCTGAGAACACACCTCGGCAGGAAGGGCACACATGGGAAGGCGGTGGAGTGGCTAGGCCTTTTTGATGGGGATGGCAGGTGAGAGGCAAGGGTCCCAGCCAAGGTGGCAGCTCTGGCCGGGAGCTCACGCCATGGTCTCAGGTGCTGCCTGCATTGGGCCCATTCTCAGGTCGGCATGGAGATTCTAGGGAAGGGTCGGGGGTCAGATTCCAGGGCTTTAAGGGGGTAAGATGGGAAGAGACAATCTTTCTAATATTTGCCAGAGTGCCTAGAGCGGAGTGAGAGAGGGTGTGCCTGGGGGTAGGACAGTCCTGTCCGGGCTCAGCTGGGAGTGCCAGGAATGGGTGAGGTCTGTGGGCTTCTTTGTGTAGGGGGCTCAGGAGCCTGTCCCTGTGGTGACGGGGCTGTGGGGCCCAGAGGCACTGTCCTAGAATGCAGGCTTCAATCCCCTGCCCTCTGGGTAGGCCCTGATGCCCCAATCTCTTTCTTTAAAGGCAGAGGGTGCAGGACTGTGTGGGACGAGGCCTGCAGCTGACACAGAAGCGAAAGGAACCCGGGAATTTGAGCTGAAGAGATGGCCCTAGGGTTTAGCGCGGCTGCTGGGGCCCCGGGTTCCTGTTTCTTCTAGGAAAGTAAGAGAAAGCAAGCGGAGGCGGCCAGGTTCAGGGAAGAGCTTTATTGCTTCCACAGTGGCTGCCCAGGACGGCTGCCGCGGCCTGGGTAAGGTCCGTAATCCTCACTTCCCTCTGGTCCAGGATCAAGGCAGAACCCAAGGACCTGGCAGTCTCGCTGAAAACCCAGAACAGCCGCCATGCTGGCCAGTCCAGGCCTGGGCACTGTCCTACGGATCAGTAGCAGCCGGCGAGCGGCCATTCCCTCCGGGCTGGGCCGGGCCTCGCCTCCTGAGCTCCGAGTTCCCTCTGCTCTAGCCCAGGGGCTGTCTTGTTGGCTTAAAGGATGGCTCCGGGGTTTCCCTGCGGGACAGTGGGCAGCTGGTGAAGTGGGAGTAGCCCATCTTCTCCCCAGGGAAGGCCAAGCAGTGTCGTGAGCTGGAGGGGGCTGGCACGAGCTCCTGCCCACCTCCCTGCAGCTCCGGAGCGGAGTACGGGCTTGTCATGGCACTGCCACTCCACAGGGAGCCCATTGGCACCCCCCCGCCGGACGGGCCTTCGTTCCGGGCCTCCTTCTGCACGGCACGTGGGCCGTGCTCGACATCTCCAACCGTATTTAAAAATAAATTATCCCTCCCCCCCACCCAAATTCACAAAATGATAATACACCAAACACTGATTGGAGAAGTAATTCTGGCAGCCGCCTCGCTGCCTCACGTCCACCTCCGGCATGCGGGGCCCGCGGGGCACGGCCAGCGGCCTCCTGGCGCTCTGGCTTCAGGGATCCGGGCCGAGGGTGAGGCCGAGCGCTGGCCTCTGAGCGGACACAGCTCTGGCTGCCCTACCGAGGCTTTGCCACCCCTGGGGCCGCTTGGCACTGTCCTTCTCCGGGTCTCAGCACTCCGGTGCCTCTCGGGCGGGGCCGGACCGAGGCCAGTGAAGTGGGCAGGTGGCGGCGGCTGCTGCCTGCTGGTGGCGGCGCTGGGACCTCCGTGCCATGTGCTGGGCCCATCTCAGATGCCACTGGTCAGGTCAGTGATGACACGCGCTTTCACCAATTTCCGCAGGAATTCTTTCTCCCGCTCGATGTTGTGTGTCCAGGACTGGGAGGGGAGAGATGGGGAGGCGGTCAGTGGGGCGGCCTTGGCGCCTGCTAGGACACAGCCCCGCTCACGTGTGCCTCCCGGAGTGCAGTGCCCTCTTCGGACCGCCACCCTCCGATGCCCTGTGCCATAGCTCACCCCCCTCCCTCCCCAGAGCTGCCGCTTCACTTCCTGTAACCTTCGGAGACACAGGCTTTCCAATCTTGTTCGCAAAGGCTTCAACCCGCCTCGTCCAGCAGCGCGTCTGGGGCACCCAAGTCCTAGGCCTGGCGATGTGAGTCACCAGGTCCTGCCCAGGCCCGGGGCTGGCCCTGCTGAAAAGAGCCTCGTGGGGGTGGCTTAGTCATTCTGCGGCCTGACGCAATCCCCTTCTCCAGGCCTGGGGGCCGCTGACGACACCCTGCCTCTCGGGTCAGAGGGGCCAGTAGGCCAGAGGGCGGCGGGCCCGTCTCACGGTTAATGTGGAAATTACAGGGAGGGGGCTGCCTTCTCCTTCGGGGGAGACTGCACCTCGGCTCAGGTTCTCTCCAATCCCCGGGACTCACCAGGAAGCTTTGGTGACTAAGTCTCTCAAAGAAAGAAAAAGGATTAAATGAATGAATGAGCACCAATAGCCCCGTTTTGGCATTCATCACACAGTCGGGCGCACAGTTTGGACCCACCTGACTGCTCTGTTGCATCTGTCAGCTCTGGGCCTCACGACAGTGATGTTAGGGCCACGATCTAGCGGTGCTGAGAACTCACTGCTCTGTCTGGTCCTTGTTCCGATCCAGTAACTCTCTCCAGCCTGTCACTATACTCCGCCTTCAGCGCGTGGCCCTTCGGCTGCAGAGCCCTGGGTGATTTGCCCTCATTTCTTTCTTTCTTTTCTTTTTTTTTTTTTTTTTAATATATTTTATTGATTTTTTACAGAGAGGAAGGGAGAGAGATAGAGAGCTAGAAACGTCGATGAGAGAGAAACATCGACCAGCTGCCTTTTGCACACCCCCTACCGGGGATGTGCCCGCAACCAAGGTACATGCCCTTGACTGGAATCGAACCTGGGACCTTTCAGTCCGCAGACCGACGCTCTACCACTGAGCCAAACCGGTTTCGGCTGCCCTCATTTCTTAAAGATGCAAGCATCTGTCTCACCTCTTTGAAGGCAGGGACAATCTGGCTCAGAGTGGTGCTCAATATATATGTGTCCGATGGAATTAAGACTTCACAGGTAAGAAGATGGGAGGCCTGGAGGAATGGCAGGGCCAGGAGCCAAGCAAATGGAGACGCTCATACAGCTCTTTCCTTCCCCAGCCCTTCCCCACCCCCAGGGAGGGGACCGGTCTGACAGACCAGCCTCAAGGGCGCCCCCTGGGAGTCACTGAGGTGTGAAAGGTCAGCAAAGGACCCGATATTTGGTGATATGAAGGAACTATTAATTTTCCTAGGTGTATTGTGATAGTAGAAAATAATCCTTAACTTTTTGAAAAACTTACTGAAATGTTTTTAGTTGAAATGATATATCTGAGACTTGTTTCCAAATAATCAGGGGGGAGTACAAGTAGGAAGAAACAGGTGAAACCACACTGGCCATGTGCTGCTCACCAGGGGGCGGCGGGGGGGCAGGGGGGGACAGGTGGCAGTTACATGGAAGTTGGGTATATTGTTCTCTGTGTTTATGAGTATGTTTGACAGTGTAAGAGTAAGCACAAAGTCTGCCTGGGGTGGAGCTCTCCTGGCCCAGGCAATGCCACCGAGAGGGTGCTCTCTCTCAACTCCTCCCCCGGCAGACACACAGGGGGTGACCGGAGCCCTCGGCACTATGCTGCCTGCACCGTCCATGGCCTGGGGCGCCATTCTGGTCCCGTGGTCCAGCCTCACCAGGATTTTGGAGGCAGAGTCCATCCCACTCACTGGCCACTCTCAGAGAGCCTTCCTTCCCACAGCTCTTCTTCTGTCTCATGTCTGGCTCCTCCTCCCTCACCCCGTCACTCAATGCTGGTGCTCCTAGGGTGCCGACGACCTGCATTTCCCAGTCTACGTCTCCCTGGAAGATTTCACACGCGCCTGGCCTGGGTCTGAACGTGCCGTTGTGCTCACAACTCACGGACGCGCACTTCCAGCCTGGATTTCTCCGCTGTGTCCGGGCCAGGAGTCTTCATCTCTTGCCTAGTCTGCCGGGCAGCCTGCTAACTGGTTTCTGTTCCTGCCTCGCAGCCCTCTACTTCACGCTGCAGCCACAGTGAGCCTTCTACATGCTAATTCCAGGCTTCAAACGCTTCTGCCTTCAGAGCAAGGCCCACTCCTCGCCACGGCAGAGAAAGCCCCTCACGATCGAGCGACTGCCTATGTCTCCCGTCTCTCAGGTTTACATGGAAGTTCATTCTGTTTTTCTCCATGTTTATGAGTATGTTTGACGGTGTTCACAATATTTGTGTAAGAGAGCAAATATATAAGTAAACAGAAGCCGGGAGCAGGTAAAAGCCGTGAGGACAGTTTGGAGTGGGTGCTAGCAGGGGACAGAGAAGCAAGAAGATACATCAAGAGAGACAGAGCTGGAAGGACTAACGGGGCCGGGGCAAGGAGGCAGGAGCCGCTGGTGAGGGTAAGGCGGTTCTGGAACCAACCAGAAGGAGCTTTCCGCTCCTGAATGCCATTCCTGGCAGCAGGAGGCCCCGGGGAAGACCATTTCTGGTTCCCCTGAGACTCCCGAGTCTTCCTTATAAGCTTGAAGTAAGTTCCCATGGCTTGAGGTAGCCTGAATGAACCAAAAGAGCCTGACAGTGCAGATGGTAATGGAAGCCATGGCCAGGGGATACCAGCCTCCTGGGGGACCTGCAGGGTGAGCGGAGGCGGCCTGGGATGGAGCCCTGGATGATGCTGGTTCTTAAGGGGTGGACTGCGATCAAGGACACTGGGCTAGAGCACGAGAGAGACTGGCGAGTGAATCGGAGCCCCAGAAACTACTGGCTCAGAAGTCTCAGCGGGAGAGGGTTTCAAAGAGGAAGGAGTGGTCGGCACAAGTGTTTGAGAGACTGGGAGAGGTGGGACGCCCACGTGTCCAGCGGATCTGGAGCCTTGAGGTAAGTCCCTGGTGACCTTAGTGGGAGTCGTGTCAAGAGAGCGGCAGCCAGACTGCGAGGGGCGAGGGACCGAGAGGGAGTGAGGCGTGCATAGGGGACAGACAACCCAGCAGGAGCGGGCGGTGCCCACTGGAACCGAGTTCTCACGGGAGGAGGGGCAGGGGCTGGAGAAGGGCGGGTGAGCCTGGGGAGCAGGAACGAGGGCTAGCTGAGATGAGAACCCCTGCGATAGAGGTCTCCAGCGACCCCACACGATGCAGGAGCAGAGCAGCTCCTCAGCGTGCTAACCCCAGAGGTCCAGGCTGCAGGCTGGGACCAGGGCAAGGCTCGCGGGAGAAGTGAAGGCGGAAGAGGGGCTGATTTTCCACGTGGGCTCTGCTGGGAGGGAGAATTGCAGGAGGTGGCGACAGGCTGGGAGGACGGTAATGCTTCTCCTACTTTAAGGAGTCTGAGCCCATGGGGCACCTGGGCGGTAACTCTGGGTTATGACGAGCTCCAGGGCTTGGCCATGGGGAGGGTGGAGGAGGTACGGGGCTGTCCTGAGACCCGGAGGCAATGTTTGTGGGTTGTCTAAGGGGGCAAGGAGTCCTTTGGGAGAAAGACGGCTTGAGGTAGAGAGGGTGGCACTGAGCTGGTGCCAAGATTAGCGCACGACGGCTGGGGAACAGCAAGGAAGCAGGTGCAGAGAGAGAGAGAGAGAGCCAGAGAGGGAAGGTTCAGGAAGGAAACAGGACAGGGTTCTGGGTTCCTGGGGAGAGGCACAGAGGATGCTTTGTGGTCAGAGGCCCGCAGGCAGGAACGGGCCTCCTCATTGGGGCAGTGGCACCTTCCTGGAGCTCTGGGCGGCCGGAGCAGCCGCTGGCTCATCTCTTCACCATCACAGGGAACGGTCGGAGCCTGTCCTCGGTGCCGGAAGCGCCCTCCTGCGGCCCGGCCCACCCGGCCCCTCACCTCTTTGATGGCTGACATGCGCACCGTCTCGTAGTAGTGCAGGGGTGCGTTGGGTGTGTTCATGTCGTAGCCAAAGCCTGCGACCGCCACTTCGTCACAGCCGTGCAGGGCCATGGTCACGGCCACGCTGCCCAGCGTCGGGATGTTCTGGGGAAGGGGCGGGTGCAGAGTTCAGGCGGAGGGCTGAGCGAGGCTGAGATCCTCAGTGAAGCTCCCCGGAGCTGAGCTCCATCCCCTTGTCCCTCCTCCCATCCTCACTCCCTGTTCTTTCTTCTTCCCAAGGTCCTCATGACCCAGTTCCCCGCCCGCACCCGGCCCGGCCTCTCACCCCGCGGCCCATGAGCCCGTTGTTGAAGGGCAGTCCGATGAGGCTGAAGGCAGCTTCCTGGATGAAGTACGGGTTGAGGATACGAATCTCGGGGGGCTCCTTGGGCACGCGGGTGGCCACGGATTTCCAGAAGCCGTCCGATGCACTCTGTGGACACAGCACGGCGGGGCGTGAGCCGGGCACACGGCTGCGAGGGGACTGTGTGAGGGGCAGGGGCCCACGGGGTTTACAAGCAGATGAGAAACAAGGTGGGGGCCGTGAAGAGGACTGCAGGCACCTGGGGCACGTGGGGTAAACACAGCGGGAGGAGGGGGAGCACCTGGTGTGTGCCGGGGACGCAGGAAGTGTGAGAGACAAGGGTGTGTGGTGGGAACTGTGGACAAATGGGGGGCCGCGGTGTGTAATGGGGATCCAGAGGGAGCTGCGTGGCGGGGCAGAGGGTTGGGCGCTCAGTGAGCTGCTCTGCCTTTGGGGGGCTCTGGGTCATCAGGAAGACCCAACGGTCCAGCCGGCCCCCACCCTGCGCAGCTACTAAGGCGGCCAGGAGGAGCCTGCCCTCTCTCCCCCATCTGCTCTGCTGGGCTCGCCTCCTTTCCCTTCTGTTGTCTCTCCTGGCTCTCAGCCAGCTGTCCTAAAGTGAGCCTGGAAAATAAAGACAGAATGTCAGCTCGTCTGGGGACCCGGAACACCACTCCAGTCCCAGGCTGCCACTGACTGGAGCGGGCGAATGGTCACGTGGCAAGCTCTCTGAGCTTCCGTTCCCTTAACTGCAAAGTGGGACCATTCTTCCCTCCGTGATCTCAGTACCAGACAGGAAAGGCATCCGCTCTGAAACCTGGCAGCCCAGGGTGCAGTCCAGGCCACCACTTCCTCCCCTCCCTCTAGTCCTCAGCCCTGCCTTTCTGTTCAAGACCCTGAAGCATCCACGTCAGCTACTCCCTCCATGAGTTCAACTCCCGGCCCCTTGCCTCCCTGCGGCCCCAGCCCACGGAAGCGCTGACCTTGGCATCCACTCTTTCCCACCCTTACAACCGGGCTCCTGAGTACTGCTGGAGGAACGCACAGACCAGCCCTCAGGCTGGAGGCATCACCAAGCCAGGGGCTCCAGCCTCTTATTTGCAGAGTTTGTTATTTGCCCAGAAAACCTGAAAGAAAGCTTAGTGGGTAAGCTGGGACCGGTTTGGCTCAATGGATAGAGCATCGGCTTGGGGACTGAAGGGTCCCTGGTTCGATTCCGGTCAAGGGCATGTACCTTGGTTGCGGGCATATCCCCAGTAGGGGGTGTGCAAGAGGCAGCTGATCGATGACTCTCTCTCATCGATGTTTCTAACTCTCTATCTCTCTCCCTTCCTCTCTGTATAAAAATCAAAAAAATATATTAAAATAAATAAATAAACTTAGTGGGTAAAATAATTTATTAATAGGATCTGTACTCCCAATAGGGAAGTCACCAGTTAGAATACAAAAGAGATCCATCCCACTTGCAATCCGAACAACAACAACAAAAATAATCAAATACTGATCAATAAATTTAAGTGGGATCTGGAGAAAAAAAAAAAGCTGCAATCCTTTGAGAGATCTAAAAAAAATTACTTGAAAAAAAATGGGAGACAAGCCATATCTTGGATGAGAAGGCTGACTATTAACACAATGCCACTTCCTCCGAGATTAAGGTAGGCTTAACTTAATTCTAAGAAAAATCCCAATAGGATTTCTTTTTTTGAAATGTACCAAAAGGATTCTAAAATCCCATCCAAATAGTTAACAGATACATTGAAAAACTAGATATGAGAGTATATTATAAATTTGCGGGGATTAAAACACTGACAGATGTCTAAGAACCAACACAAAGATCAATGAGACAAGAGAGCCCAGAAGAGATCAGTCTGCACGCACACGCTTAGGCCGTATGACAGGCAGCTGCACCGACGGTAGGAACAAGGTGAGTTTCCTACCAAATGACATTTGAAAATTTGCTACATAGGAAAAAAAGAGCCACTCACTGCCTCTCCTGCTAAAAGGAAAAGGAAAAGAAAATTTAGATGCACATTATCATCACTGAGCTTCCTCAACATTAGTGTAATGTTAGAAATGAAGAAGAAAGTCAATGAATTCTGACTTTGTAAACACTTTTTGTGCTCTGGTTCATAAAAAATATAATAAGCAAAATTAGGAAGGAAACAAAGAAGTGGGGAAAATTGTCACAAATAATACATATTTTAAAAATTCATAAAAAATCGAGACCACCTGAAAATGGGAAAAGAACATAAAAAAAGGTTAGTAAGCATGAAAAACTCAGTATTAATAAAAATGCAAGTTTGTGTAACCAAATGCTATTTTTATCCTCTAAAATACAGAGTGCGGCAAAAGTAAGTTTACAGTTGTTTGCATGGAAAAGACAGTAATTAATTAATAATTATAGAAGAATAAACTCCGTTTTGTGTACTCACAATTGTAAACCTGCTTTTGCCCCCACCCCGTGTGTGTGTGTGTGTGTGTGTGTGTGTGTGTGTGTGTATAAGTGCGTGTGTGTCTCTCAGTGCTGTGGTGCTGAGCTGAGATAGAACTCGCCTACACTGCAATCTGAATATGAATCAAAAGCTTCAAGGCTGTTCATACCCAATGACTGTGAATTTCTCTCCTAAAAGCCCTCAGAATGGCGAAGACCTCTGTAAAAAGCTGTTTAATACAATGTTATTTATAAGAGTGAAAAACCTGAAAAAAATATAAAAGTTTATAACAGAGATTCGGTTAAATGATAATCTCCTGAAATAAATCAAACTACAGACACCAAATGTATGTTCCCTAAGGATTCTGTCACAGGGTGTACATATGTATTTAACATGTTTCCCCACATCTGCTCCTGCTCCTCCTGTGCTCCCTCCAACAAACTAGAAGCCTCAGATTCGACTTCACATACTTCACCTCTCCCGCCAAACCCTGCCCCACTGGCCATCTAGTTCTTTTATCTCCTTAGAATCCCACAGACCCACCTCTTCCTCCCAGACACACTGCTTCACGGAAATCCAGGTCTTGTCACCTTCCGTTGGACTATCCTAACAATTGGCCATTTACAGCATCTGCCTTGCTGCCCGCTCAGAGCCCAGAGTCCAGCAGAGGGACTGGGACATAGAATAACTGTTAAATTCCATCCGTTTAGTGAACAAACGTGTAATGGGTGCCCCCAGACCACTGTCCTCTCTGCCAGATGCTCTTTCTACGTACAAAGCAGGTCACATCACCACCGGTCCAGTGCGGAGCTTTTCAGCCAGGAAGCCCTTCTGCCGCTCGTTTCCACTCCGCCCACCCGAGGCCCCACCTGCTCACTCACGACTCCATGCTTTTGCTGAGCTGCTCCTTCGGTCTCCAATGGCCTTCCCACATCTATCCACCTCATCCAACCCACTTAAAAAAAACACACAAAAGTCAGCATATCCCTCATGTTTTTCCTGACCCCATTCCTCCAAAGGTATAAATGACCTCTAACCTTTGGGAAGTGATAGAATATGGAGTTATATCTACTATGGTTTGAATGTTATCCCCCACCCCCACCCCCGTGCTGTGTCCCCAAAGCCATGTTGAACAGCTGATGCCCAACGTGGTGGTATTAGGAGGTATATTTAGGAAGTGGTGAGGGGGGAGCCCTCATGAGTGGGACCGATGCCCAGAGGTCCCAGAGATCCCTTGCCCCTTCCACCAAGTGAGAATATTACAAAAAGAAGGCGGTCTGTGAACCAGGAGGCCCTCACCAAAAACCAACCCCGCCAGCGCCAGGGTCCTGGACTCCCCAGCCTCCAGAATGGTGGAGACACATGTCTGTTGTTTATAAGCTGCCCGGTCTGCGGTGTTTTGTTCCAGGGGCCTGAACGGACTGGATTCAGGTTCAGCTCTCGTCCCTCACTGGAGGGAGACCCTGGGCAAGGAGCTCCCCATCTCCTTGTGGGTAAACCAGGATACTCTCAGGATGTACCTTCTGGTCTGTTGTGAGAATTAGATAATTCAGGCTGAGTGCCAGCTCCCAGTCACCTGACCGACTGTTTTCACCACCATCATTAGCGGTGTTTCACAGGGCCGAGGCTCACATCTGACCCACGTCTGTTGCTCAGCACAGCCCCTGTGAAGGGGACACGAAGGCCATCTGAGGCTCCTCCATTGCTCTCAGCAGCAACAAAGAGCTCCCACTGGTCAGGACCCCTCCAGCTTCTCTCCCCCTGCCTTCAGGGGGCCGACTCTGCTCCAGCCGCACCCCTGCACATCTCCCCACCTCCGGCAACATCTCCTTCTCTGGTAAAGCCTCTCTGCCCTCCCTGTGTCCCAGCACCTGTGAGCCTGAGAGCAGACCCCAGTCCGTCTTGCTCCCGTGTCTCCCTCTGTGCCCAGGAGAGGTGCGGGTGCAAGGGGGAGGAGGCAAAGATAGGGACCCCCAGGGACCCAGTAGGAAAGGGGAGGGAAATGGCCAAGTTATCACAGAACCGAGGAGAAGCCCCTCCTGCGAGGCCCAGATGTGGACCGAAAGGAATGGCAGGTGCCAGCCTGTGCCAGGGAAGGCACAGCCCCTGTCCCCTCTCCAGAGCCTGGCAGGCTCCAACAGTGCCCCACCTGGGGTTCCTGCCCATGCGTGCCCCACACACACCTAAGAGGAAAGAGCGCAGGGGCTGCTTGGGAGCGGGAGGGAGAGCCAGGAACGGGCACAGCTGGGGGTGTGCCAGGCTCCAGGCTAGTTTTCACAGACATTATTTACATCTCATCAACCTTCACCAACTTCACGGGTACAGACTCAGGATGAAGCAACATGTTCAAGGTGATGCAAATGGCTCTGCCAAGATTCAAACACAGCGTCGTGACTCCAAGACGGTGCGCATTCCGCCATCGTCACTGTTGCTCCACCCCAGGTGAGTAAGGGTCCCACACCCCGCTTCGCGGAGGGGACTGCCCACGACGCTCACACGGCCGGAGAGTCAGAGCCGGATCCAGCCTCAGAACCCGGGTATTTCCCTGACACGAGATGCCATCTCTGAAACCGTGACCCTCAGCTTTTCCCAAGTGCTGAAAGTCCCGTATGTCACCACTATGTAAAACTGCAGGAAATTACCCTCTCTGAGAACTGACAACAGTTTCCGTGGGGAGAGTAAAGCTTCTGCCTCTCC